ATAAAGTATATGGGCTTAACATATTAACTGATACTACAAGTTTGTTTCATTAACTGACTTTAAGTGAAAAACCACTGAGGAAGCTGATATCAGAATGAAACAGTTATCCAATATTTCTTGATTTTCAGTAGTTATCTTACTGATATCAGTCCATGATATCAACTATGATTATTTATTTTATGATTTTAGTTACACAACATACTTTATTCATTTTATGGGAATTTTGTTTTGATCCGATAAAGTCATTCAGATAATTTAGAACATGCACTCCAATGTTTATTTTTTTACAAGCTTTAATTTGTTTTTCCTCTTTTCACAAGTCAATACATTTTTCACATTGTGCAGTTTAAGTAAGAAATTTTTATATTTTAATCATCTTTTTTCAGAATAATGAAATTTTAAACTCAGTAACGAGCGATCAGACTTACTACTCAGACTAGTAACAATGAATTTATTCCAATACGTATATCTATTGGGGTACTATTTAAACAATAATTAGAAGCTCATTAATTAACCATTAGTAGGGATATCAAGCATTAACATTTTATATCATTAATTCTCTACAATTCATTACAATTCATTCACTGCTGAGGAGTCCCATAATAGGACGAAACGGCCGTCCAGTGTTTCCAGGTTTTCCATGGTGGTCTAGCTTCAATTGACTCATGCTTTAAAAAAAAAAATAAAAAAAAAAAATTCATTAATAGTTAAGAGTATTCGTATTGAATAGCTTATTTATATTGCCTTCATTTTCTATTGCTCTCTTTATGTTAACAATCATGTACTGATTTTTATTCTATAAATCACACTTCCTTTGAACGTTGTTCTAAGGTCTTCTATCATAAAAAACATTTAGATATTTGTATGAATTAACTAACTGCAAAATAGGCTACAGTTTATAGCTTATTGTTTTTTCGTCAATACAACAGTAATATTTATGCGAAACTAACATAAACTGTATAACAATCTAAAATAAGGGCGAATTGTACAGTTTCATTTCAGAAACGCATCACTTAGTTACTTATAAACACATAATAATGATAGTGATTATAATAATCATAATAATGTATTATGGAAATAATTACAGAACTCATGGCAACTTGTGGACATGTTAAGGTTGATAAGATATCAGTGTGAAGCAAAGATAAATGGTTTTATGTTATTTTAAATAAAAATAGATTAAAAATTGTTTTGAGAGTATATATGTAACATGGGTCACACAAATGTGAGGATTAGGTTGGCAAACATAATTTCGTTTTAGGGGGATTAGGGTATTGTATTGATGTATGAACAATGCATTTATGTAATTATTAATGCCACTACAGGATGAATGTAGTTAAGTGCAGAGAAAGCCAAGGAACAAGGTGAATTTACAGAAACAAACAAGACAGTGTAAAGGAGAATTAGGGATGATAAGGCGAAATACGTGTCAGATCCGGCAATGTCGGCGAAAAACTCTGACAACTATATGATACAACAAAGATACTAGCAGGATGACATAGTAAAACAGAGCAAACATTCAAGACCAAAGCAAGAAAGCCAATTACTGAGATTCAAGAACAATGTAGGAGGTGGTTAGAGCACTTTAAAGAACTTCTTAATAAATAAGCCTCACTGAACCATTCGGATATAGAAGCAGCCCACACAAACATTCCTACGACTATCACTCAACCAACGATTGAAGAAATCATCATGGCTATGAGAAAAATCTGCCGTATGGAAACAGCAAACTCAGACTCCATACTAGCTTGAGCACTCAAGTCAGGTACAGAGCTGACTGCAAAGACGGTGCACATTCTATTCAGAATGATTTGGGAGGAAGAATAAGTGCCAGCAGACTGGAAAGAACGATACCTCATCAAAATACCAAAGCAAATCTGAGAACTGCAGTAGCGTCACACTACTATCAGTACCAAGAAAAGTTTTCGACAGAATGTTGCTGAACTGAATAAAAGATTCAGTAGACGTCCAGCTTCACGATAAACAGGTTGAATTCCGTAAGGATCGATCATGAACAGACCAAATCATGACACAACTGGTCATTGCTTACCAATCAATTGGGTGGCTTTTGTCACTATATATCAACTTCCTTGACTTTGAGAAAGTATTTTACAGTCAAAGTAGGAGAAACTTATGGAACCTTGTTCGATACTATGGTGTACGTGAGATTGTCACCATCATCTGGAATTCGTACGATAGACTACTTTGAGAAGCCATGCATGAGGGTCAGGCGACAGATGCATTCCAAGTAAAGACTGGTATCAGACAAGGCTGCTTACTCTTCCCCTTCCCTCTCTTCCAGTGGTTGGTTGGATTTTGAAGACCTCCACATCTGAGAGGAAGCACGGAATACAGTGGACAGCCTGCATCCAACCAGATGATTCGGACTTTCCAGATGGCTTAACTCTTCCATACCATACACACTAACAAATTCAAGTGAAGGCGGTCGGTGCAGCATCAACCTCTGTAGTAGTAAACCTCAACAAAAAGTAAATCAAAAAGCAAGATCCTGAAATACAAAACAGAAAACGCCAACGCAGTTACAACTGATGAAGCAGCTCTGAGAGAGGTGAAAACCTTCACGTACCTGGTAAGCATCATCGATAAACAAGGAGGATGCATACGTAAAAGCGAAGACTGGCAAAACAAGGGTAGTATTCTCACGGTTAAATTACACATGGAACTCGAAACAACTGACAACCAATACCGAAGTCAAAATCCTCAATACGAACGTCAATACAGTTCTACTGTACGAAGCTGAACTTTGGAGAACTACTACAACGATCATCGAGAAGGTACGAGTATTTATAAACAGTTGTCTACTTAAGATACTTAATTTTTACCGGATGCTCTCAGCAACATCCTACTATGGGAGAAAACAAAACATATTCCAGCTGAAGATGAAGTTAGGATAAGACGTTGGAAGTGGATAGTACGCATATTGAGGAAATCATCAAACTGCATCACGAGGCAAGCACTGACTTAGAATCCTGAAGTGTAACGGAGAAAAGAAAGAAGAAGGAACAAATTGTGTAAGAAATTGGAAGCGGACATCAGAGGGATGAATAGCAACTGGAAACAACTGGAAGGGACTAACCAGAACAGAGTTCTATGAAGAATGCTGATGATCGGCCTATGCTCCTTCATGAGGAGTAACAGTCGTAAGTAAGTAAATAAGTAGGAAGTGGAGAAAAGGAAAATTAGAGAGCAGTAAACAGAAGTTACAGTAATGATCGAGATAGGCTTCTCGTAATGCAAATGCAAAGTTGTTTTATGATCTACTGATGGTGACTGACAATTTCTAAATTAGTTCAATCTATCAGGAACGGTGCAAGTATGAAATATCTACAGGAAGGGAAGTTTACTGGGTACGCTCATTAATAATGATGATTGCAACCTGACGATTCTAATCATGTCTAGTATTATAAAATTATCGTCATCAGGCTGAAATGGTAGTCAGTTAAACTTGGAAATTTATAATTACCGATTTCAACTAAGAAGATATGAGCATTCTCAGTTTGATCTTAATTAAGTTAGTAATACTCACTACTCAACACTATCATGACATCAAAAAACAAATGTGTGATGCTCGATAAATTCCATTAGTTAATCTATCACTAACCTATGTCAACTCATCATGATTAACACACTGAAATCGAAATCATCTCAACAATCAACCGACACAAACAACAGTCATAACTGAAAAGTAGGTCATTCAAATTTCCAACATGTGATATTGCTAATTAACACGAACAAGTATGTTAATTTATTCAATGTTGAGTCCTACTAAGCAAATGGTGGCAAAGTTCATCTTATCTTAGTTGATCATAGTGGTAATGATCATACCACTTTCCTTTCACTCCATCAACACTATTGTCAGTTTTCTTCCTTTCATCTGCAAAATACCATTGGTTATCTCATTTGAAATGAGTTGAACTTGTTCTTAAATGAAGGGAAATGTTGTTACATTGGAAATGAACAACCAATCGTTTGTATATGAAAAGGTGATAATGAATAGTTGGATGAGAGATGAAAGCTGGATAATCTGGATATCATTTTAAGTAGCTTATATTGAATTCTTATATATATGAATATTCAATTCTTATAGAATTAATTATTCGATAACATATAGATAAAAAATTAATCGTGCCATAATTTTCTGGTGGGAGAGATTATATCTTAAAACAATTTAATGAAAACATTTCTTATTTTTATGTATTGTTTTTATTTGATTTAGTATGAACCGGAGTAAAGTATTGGCTTTATCGTTGATCACAATATTTATAATGTACATTTTATTCATAAGGAATGGATACCGACCGTATATTGATGATGAGGAGCTCAATTATGACTATATTGATGATGAACAGATTATTCGGAAATTACAGAATACACAGTTTGATTTTATTATAGGTAAGTGATCCGGGATGTTATTGACGACTTTGTTGTATAAGTTAAATAAACTAAGAATAATTCTTACGAGATCATTATTGTCACAAATGAAGTAACGAGTCGATCTAAGCTAGACCACCATTGAAAACCTGGAAGCACTGGACACCGTTTCGTTCTGGTATGGAACTCCTCAACAGTGTGCATCCACTATCCATCTACATTAAATCTGATAAACTCGAGTTCCAATTGATCAAACAGAAAACTAGGTTATAAACATTATGATATGAGATAGCTTGAAGGATTTTTTAGATCAAAATAATTTTATCGCCCCTAAATTCAATTAGCAACTAAAAAATCGTAAAATTCAATAATATACTTTACCGATATTTATTACAGTTATCATGGGTACTGTTTGGTGAGGATTCAAGATTTTATTGCAAGCTGTCAGTTTTGTTTGACCACTGGACAAGCAAAATTATGGTATTTATACTTCGTGGTTAGATACTTCTTATTTAATAAAATTTGTAAACAACGTTTACAGAGTTTATTAGAGCTGTCCACATAGTCAATTTTTTGTTCCGACGACTATTAAACTCCACTTTTATCGAATTTCCTTAGTCGGTTATGATCTCATCTCTAGTAATAGGTAGAACAAACATATAACGAGTAATAGTTTATCACCAACTAATCAAATGAAACACAATTTCGTTTTATTACCATTATTTTGACTTGTAAAGCAAATGTGATTCGATCATTTTCTTAAATCTGTCAACTTGTATGGCTTTTAACCACACAATGTTGGCTTCTTCTAGATAATTAATGTTAAATCATGGTAATAGAAAGCAATGTTTATTGATATCAGTATTAGAGTGACTTATTTCTCAGTTTTTGATGGATAATGTTCATATTTTTGGTAAGTTTAGTAGCCAGTATAGAAAAAATAAGTATATCACATTATACTTAAAATTATTATTTATCCATTTAGCTGGAGGCGGTACAGCAGGTTCAATTATTGTTCGAAAATTATGGGATGGATTTCAAAAAATGCAGTGTAAATCTTCAGAGCAAGCTAAATCATGTTCATCAGAAGGAGTGACTGTGAATCATAAATTATTCAGTATTAGTGGTGATGCGAATATATGTAAAATGACTTGCTCCAAATATCGACCAAAAATATTGTTACTTGAATCTGGATCCAAAATTAGTTGGTTAACAAAGAAGATTAGTGATATACCCCTTCTTGCTCCATTATTGTATGGACAGGGAATTGATGTTATTGAGCGAACTACGTCCCAAATATCATCAGCCCTAAAGTTAAAGGAAAACGTAATTTACTTGACAAAGTTTTGGTTTCTTTCCATCTTTTTTGTTTATATATATATATACTTTTTAGTTATGACTGTTGTTTATGTCGGTTGATTGTTGAGATGATTTCGATTTCAATGTGTTAATCATGATTAGTTGACATAGGTTAGTGATAGGTTAACCATTGGAATTTATAATGCTTTATTCATCTATTTTATGTTGACGCCACTGAGTTTAGCAGTGCATATATTCTAATCATAACAGGATCAAAATATCTACTTATCGAGTAGCTTGATAAGTATTCCTAATTATGATTTTGTCTGTTTTGAGTGAATTTCATAAAGTCCTATGCAAATTAGTATCATTCAGAATTATAGCTACATTACACAGCTTATATGAGATCGTCTTAATCAAAAGAGCATGAGTATTGCAACTACTTTATGTGCAATTCATACAAATAAAACTTGTTTTCTTTCACGCTTGTTCTAATTATAATGAATGACTAATGATTAACTCTGTTTATCATATAAATGTACAGGCGATTCTTTTACCTCGCGGACATGTTTTGGGCGGTACTGCACTACTTAATGCAATGATATTCTCTTATGGTCATCCAGATGATAAATTATTGAAAGAATTTCTACATACCAATGAAGAATTTCTCTCTGAATTATTTGATAAAATGAAAGGTTTGTCTCATATTTTTGTTTCCCACAGTAATAATAATAATGATTTATAATATTTGTGATAAAAGTAGGAGTGCAAAATGTAAAAGATAGGGGACAATTTAATAAACAAAATAAAAATATAAGCTAATATAATGGTAAAGAAAAGGATCTAGGGAATCCTTTGTACACGCACAACTTAGGTTTAAAATTGTGAATGAATCTGTCATAATACACAGTTAGTTAGGACGTACACCTCGTTGGATCGTTGGCTGTATTTTCTGAATGTCAAACGATGAACGGGAGATTAAATATCTTTTTTTTTGCTGACGAATGCCAATTCATACAAAACTTGGATCGAATTAGGTCTATTTTTTTATTTCTTTCAACCACTTAACATAAAAATATTGATAAAATCTATAATCACTTGTTTATCACAGTTTGGTATTTAACCAGGAAACCGCATTCTATTCAAAATAAGCTTCTCCTATAAACATGGTTACAAACTGTTCTATGGTTTACTTTAAAATGAAATTAAAATAAATAGTAGGCAAATGTTAAACACTTTGCATCACATAGTGTTTGAAGTTATTTAGCCTTCATGTTTTCAGTAAAACATTAAAAATAAGTCACCTGGACATTACACCATATTTATTTCTTAAATATGTCACTTTTGTCAAGTATAGCTAAATTTTTGGAAGATAGTACATTGTTGTGTAATTTGATATTTTCAGATGATATTTGTTCTTTAAAGCTCAGGATAGAAGCACCAACTTAGATATGTAGAAATGAGATAAGGAACCAAAAAAATAATTTCTATTATTTTTTGCGTGACTTTAGATTTAACTGTTTCTACAGAGTTAATCTTTTGAAACCTCACTAAACAAACAATTTTATGTTTTAATGAAGTCATATCTGATTAACAAATTCAATAAACCAAAAAAATCATCTTAATAGTTGGATTCACGAGTCCATCTAAACTAGATCACCATTGGACGGCCATTTCGTCCAAAGACCAGAATGAAGCTTTGCGAAAGATCTAGCTTAGATTGACTAATGAATTCAACTATTAAAATTACCACAATCTCTATACTTGCTGAAATATTCCCATCTTATTTTAACACAATTATATGAAAGAAGAATATTATTTTCAATAACCTCTCATCAGGTTCTACAATTATAAATCCAAATTAATAATCCACAAAAGAAAATTGGCCAAAATTAAGGCAGAGTACATCATTTAAGAAACTGTAACATGTGAATCAAGGAGTGTTTGTAATATAAAAAATTAAATCGAATGGTTAATGTTGGGTTGACTAATATGAAGTGCTAACATGATCCAGTTTATAAATGAAATGAAATTGTGAGATAAATAATGATCAGAATAAATATAGTTGACATGGCGTGAGATAGAACAATGGGATTACAAATCAAAACCTGATGAGAAATTATCTCTATAGTTCCTGATTCGGAAAAAGTTACTTTTTTGATGTGCTTTCGTTACTTTCATCTGATGTTAATGGATTTCACACTGTATGTAAGAAGCCGTAAGCTTACTTTCCATGAAACGTAAAACTTAATATTGCATTTTTTTTTCAAATTTCAATCAGAAATAAATTCCCAGCTGGATCTAAGCCTATGTTATATGATGTTACAGACCAAAACGTTGTCACTGAAGTCATTGAGTTTTGACTAACCTCCTATTAACCTAAGTTATGCATACTGGTTGGTCATCTAAGAATGATCAATATCATTTTGTTTGCTGATGATTTCTGGTCAATGTCTATCCATCAAGTTCGAGTGTAGCTATTTTTGATTACCTAAACTATCAGTAAGCTGATATATTTATTAACTGAGAAAATATACTTCCCTTCAATTGAATTTTGATTATATAGGGTATTACAATTGAAATCCGAAATTTCAAAGTAATTTTGATCCGTAAAACTTCATTCTAACCTATGAAATTAATTTACTAGTTCACAAGCGAATATAATTCATTGTAATGTATTATTTGTATGTGATTTCAAAACTTATGATTTGAATGTAAAAGTGATAGATGTTAGTCCTAATTTAAGCCGGTTATTGTCACTGATGAATATAATTTGGAAGAATTTTACTACTAGGAAACGAAGAAGAGCTGTTTGTTTTGGCTATCAACTTCATGAGTGGTGACTTCTCACTAAAACTTCCCCACTTTTATCTTGAAGCTGATCGTTAGTGGATTTAACTTTGAGGATGAAGTAGATGCTTAACAAGGGCAACGGGTGTTGTCACACTGTGATTAGTTTATTAGAGTTGGGATTGTGGACATCGGTATTCCAATTCACTGATGTGAAGATAATTCTCTATCCATAAAACGCGAAAGCCCTAAATCCAATTCCTGATGAATTTATGGGTGTGCAATCATGGGAAGTGACATACTAGGCGATGGTTGATGGCATCGATTAGTTTCGCATGTGATATTGTTCTGTGATAAAGCTCAGCCTTAATTTTTAATTGGTGATCACTCATTTAATATTATATTCCTCAAACATTTTCTTTTAAACACTTCCAAGGATGCGGTCTAAAACCTGAAGCGATTCGTCATTTACCGTATAACCAATTAATTCATGCATATTTTGCAAAAGCCTTTGAGTTACAAGGATTAAAAGTGAATTCCAGTTCACCAGGGTGGTCTTTCGAAGGTTTGACTATTCCAATGGGTAAGTCATTACTAAAACGTCTATTAATTCACCTAGTGCTAGGCATTGTAAGATATAAACGACACCATAAGATTATGGTTCATATTATTAAAATGCTTAGGTTATAATAATTCCTTACAAAATCATAAGGACTTGTCCTTACTAAGCAGGAAGATCTTTAAGTATCATACAAAATATTGTTTCCACACAAGCTTTATTAATAACATAGTAACTCTGTAGTAATACGCTTAAGTGCTAATTAAAATATCAATGAATGGCCCAATGACGCTGAAATATTTACAATGATCAACCCCAGTTTAGATTAACATGTCAAAATGATTAAAAAGCATTTATAACCGGAATTTAGTAATGATAACTTTTCGTCAGTTTAGTTCTTGTGATCAATGTTAGTGTAAGAAAATGAGTCATATTTCATATCATTGGTTCTAATACAATAAACGAATCATTTAGGGATTACCGGTGAGCCTGAGGGTAAATAAATGACATGATTGTATTTTTTAGTTCTATGATCGTTGGAATCCTGCCTGTTAGATAAAACAGTAAAATTACTTGAATAAGATACTTAGTAAGCTTTCGTTCATTAGAAGTATATTTATTGCCTGGCTTGATATGCAACATGATGATTCATCGTACATTTTTATGAGATGATAAAAGTTTAGTTGACCTGAATAATTTGAGAAAATGGCAAGAAAACATACTATAACTTTAGTTACTAACTGACGGATTAACGATTTTTAAGAATGTTTTTTTCTATGGGATGAGGTTGTTGACCCGATGCTCAAACTTCCTCCATTACCCGGGCTTGTGACCGGCAATAACACCAGAAGCGCTACGCGCTATGTTTGTTATGAATTTCGTCTGGTGAAAATGTTTTTAGTAGACATGAAATGTTCTATTTAAATTATTTAATGAGGGGAAGGAGTTAAAAACGTCTACTCGCTAACAACATTAGTTATGAACTATAATAAACAGTACCATGGAAATAATTAACGCCCAAGTGTCAACAAATGATCTGTTTCTACATGGCCTGTATTTAAGAGGTAATAAGATTTCAGGAGGGATAGGTAGAATAATAAGATTGACAGAAAGTTGGTGAACTCCACCAGTCACAGCTTCTCACTAAATCCCATAGAATTACCTGTTAAGGTTAGCCATCGGTAATTTTAAGTGATAGATGTTAAAGCAATTAGTCCCTTTGATAAATTTCGATAATGTAATAAGAAGACGAAGATTATCAGAACTATGTGATATATTAGCGCAGATAGATGTTACTATAAAACATGGAGATCGTTGAATTTTATAGTTCAGATCATGAACAAACCGTGACTAGACAGTCACTGAAAACCAGGATGAGAAGGACAGTTGTCCCTTCCAAGAAGTGGATTCATCAGCATAACAACACAACATCCAGGACCAGAACAATGATATTCAAATATATCAGCAATGGTTTAGTCTATAGAACACTGCATCAACATCCAGTGGTTTGTATTTTGTTGTGTTGTTATTATTCAGGGTCATTGTTGAACATCTGCATAACTGCCGACAAGTTCGTTTGGTGATTGTGACTTCTAATTTTCATCAACATATAAAAACACACCTATCTTAACTATCATATCCATTATCATATATTATATCTTCTTCTCTTTATTATGTTTTGTTGTCACAATCAAGCATCTGTCACAAGTTTAATAACAAATATATCAATTTCGTGTTACCATACATATTATTTCTTGTAGAATAATAGTATTTCAACTCATGAAAAACCATAGAAATAGAGTAATTAATTAATTTTACTCTTAATACCAAAGTTTGTACTTGTTTTGTTCATTGTTGTCAAGGTAATATATATATATATATATATATATATATATATATATATATATATATATATATATATATATATATATATATATATATATATATAAACTCGTGTGAATTATTATCAGTACTGGGAGTTATGGCAATTGTAATATTTTTAACAGTTGAATCCACGAGTTGATCTAAGCTAGATCACCATTGAAAACCTGGAAGTACTGGACGTCTGTTTCGTCCTAGTGTGGGACTCCTCAACAGTAAGCATCCAAGAACCTAGAACCTTCGGTTTCGCGCCAACGCTTAAACTCCAAACCACTGAGCTGGAATCTAACAGTGCTAATGTCTAACTTTAATTAATTCACGATAGTGCGCTGCTATCTTCCATTTTCTGAGCTAGATAACTGTCTCACACCCGACACGGTTTCGACTCCACTTGTCATGGCTTGCGCACTGCTGGGGCATCCCATGCTGGTCGAAGCGGCCATCCAGTGCTTATAGATTTTCATGTGAACTAGTTTTTCTCCATTCACATATCCCTATATTCATTACTGAACTTAAAATTAATGAATAAACTCTATTCATTAGCTAACAGTTATTAGTTCCGCTTTTTGTTCAAATTATTAATCTAACAGTGAATAGAGGTTGAAAATTTTATTTTAGTCCCACTTGTCCATGCTTTGGGAAAGTTAGTCGGGTACGCATTAAAATGTCTTTACTGTAAAACTGTCCCATAACGTTTAGGATTGAAAAATAAATAAACTGTTTTTTTTTGGAGACATCTTTCGGTCTTTCTAAACACATCTAGTGGATTTGAAATACTATCAATGAACAAAATGCATTGGAAGAGAGATTTATTATAATGTTTTATGCTAAGAATTATTTCTCATTGTATGTAGACTTCAATTTTTAAGTAAAATGATGAATATTGTGATTTTCTATTGGTAAATTAAACCTTTATAATATTTTTTTTAGTTTTTGTTCGTAATGCTCAACGTATTAGTTCATATAGTGAATGCCTTTTACCGTTGATTAAACAAAAGTTCACCGATTTGACAATTGTCACTGAAATACAAGTTGAAAAGGTAATGTATAATCAAAACTAATAATTTACAAATTTTCAACAGCAAAAGAGACAATTGAACGCTTAACCTGCAGACCACTTATCCAGCATCCAGTATTATAAATGTCCAACCACATTAGCTTCTAGATGAATGTCCTGGTATTCTAGTCGTAATCCGTGTTTTATTTAGACTACAAGGTTGAGGATGAGACAAAAACTCACTGATAGCATTGAAAACGCATCGTGTCTGAAGACAAATGACTGATGGAGGAAATATATATTATCGAATTGCTGGTTGATAATCTTTCGGTGTTTTGGTTATCATAATACATGAAGATTATCAACGCACAATTCTACGAAACTTAAAACCGAACCGAAATTTCTGTACAATGGTCCTTGGTTTTAATATTTCAATAAAATATTTTATTTAATGACGAAAATTACTTGGAAATGATGCGAATTTCCATCATGATTTGACATAAGTTTTGGTAAAAGAGACACCGGATTGTATAAGAGGTGACAAAATCAATCTAATTTATATACCATAGTTATTGTCATTTTTATCGGAAAATGTTGGATTTGTTGTCAGTTTTACCATCTAAGTTTTAACGCCTTCTTAAAATCTTTATACCATCTTGAAGTATCATTATTAATATCTGAGAGGTTTCTATTTAGTTTAGGACTGAATTCAATCGCATGATGTCTCAAAACCAGTGACTACTAGATAACTGTTTAGTCTTACATTATGTCTTAACGAAAGTGGAGACCACTTACCTCTCCAGCTATAGATCTTAAGACCTACACACCTATCAGAGTCCATTTATTCTCGAGATTACTGGTTTAACGCCAAAGGAATTCTCGATATACTATTACAGATTTCTAGTGCTATGTTTAACCACTGTTTTACTCCTACCATGACTGAACTCCACAGGTTAGTATTTTACACGTCCTCTATGAAGTAAACATAAACGACTTTGAAAATTATTTATGATTACATCTGCGAAATAAATTGTTATAGGCATTTATCACATAAAATCCTCCCTTAATATGAAATTAATGCATTTGCGAACGGTATACAACACGTACAATGGAGTTAAATCACCTTATCTTACGAAGTGTGTTAGTTTTGTACTTTGAAAAACATTTTGCGTTTGTAGATTATTTTCATATTATATATAGTGAAAGTTTGACTTGAGGGTCACTTTTCATCACAGACCGATATCATCTAGAAATCTGTTGAAAAGCACAGATTACTGGATAACTGTTTCCTCCAAGTACTTAACTCGCCTTCACAGTCTGACTTCACATCAATCCACCACCTGATAATTTTAAACTGGCAGGTTGGACCACAACGGCCCATATTTTACAATTCGTTTGAATTGTGTGACCACTCTAAAACATCAGCATGGTGAAAATGGTCTAACTGTTTTGAGATTATTTACTACGAATGCTTAGGTTTCTAAAAGAACGCTACACATCATTTTAGCAGAGCTACATTGTTTATTTTTGGTTTTCACAGATACTCTTCAAGAAAGGATTTCAAGAAGATTTATCTGCTTATGGAGTTTTAGTCAACTATAAAAATCATTCTTTTACAATAAAACTGAAAACTAATTCAATTATAGACCAACAAATATGGCCAAAGCCTGAAATCTTGCTTAGCGCTGGTACAGTGAAAACCCCAGAGATTTTATTACGCTCCGGTGTGGGGCCAAGTCGTGAATATCCTGTTTTTAATCAAGTGAGACACATGTATAGGTATATTTTCAGGGTTTATAAATTTATATGAAAGCTATTTGAGTCTGACTTTATTCATAGCAAACTTGAAAATGATGTCATTTAAGAAATTCACTAGCTGTGTGTTTACAATATTTAATAAGGACTTCCTAGATTACCTAATGTTACATTTCTCTGTTCGCTTTCGAATTCCTGAGGCCCAACATTAGCAAACAAATATATTTAGGCACTCGGAAGTTCTCACCATAAGGCCTAAAATCATTTTGAAGGAAAAAATTCACTAAGCTGATTGTTCTACATATTCACAGGTTAGCGACAATTTAAAAATGTTTTTCGATGTGATTAGATTAGATATTTACCAAGAAACTGTAAGTAGTTGCTTAAATTTCTTAGTACTCGTTTTATCCCAGTAGGTTGTGGATTCCAACCCTGCTCCGTCTACTTAGATTTAAATAACTTAATTGTATCACTAGACCCTACACAAATAGTTTTATTCAAAGCTTACCGCATAAACCTAATTTTTCGGTAAATGGGCTGTATAAATAATAAGTAATGCTCACAGAATAAACTCGATCTTGGTCAAGAAGCCTTTAAATGAGATGTAAAGTTAGTTATTATGACAACAAAAATGTTCAAAATCTAATGTCTGAAATTTTAGGAAAAATAGTGAAAGCTTGAAAATAATTCGACCAGATGGTAGTTTGTACTCATTCTTGCTGTAAATTAATGCATTGATAGTTTTCGAATTTCTAAACAATATTATAACAGTAACGAATTGAACTTTCCCATCTTGTTATATGTCATAATGTTTCCAAACAGTAATCCAATCAACACTTTAGTCACACAGAACGTGTATATACTCCACAGGAAAATATATCATCATTTTACAATGAACAATAATACTTTTTGTTAAAAGGGTTTTGTGGAGATTGGCTTAATTTTGAGGTTCTTCTTTCCTGAATAATATCCGAATTGAACTAAGTTTACGACAAATACAATCTACAGATTGAACGAATCTCCATAAAACCGCTTTAACTAAACTTTAATTATCAGTTTATTAGTTATTTACTTCTAGTTACTTCGGAATTCCTAGCGAGAAGTGGTAACTTGTGGAGTTCAGACATGTCAAGAGTAAAACAGTTGTCAAAAACAGCATTGGATGATCGTTTGTCTGTATTGTGAATTAATGGAAGTCAACGAATTTTTATCAAACAGCGAACCAGATGTTTTCGTGATCAAATAGTCTCCTCAAAACCTGTTAGTTTTGAGTTCTAAACAAAAGCAATAATGAAGAGTCCCATACTAGGAGGAGACAGTTTTCCAGTGGTATTTGATTCCCATTAGTACACTAAACGAAATTAATCTTTGGAGAAATCAATCTACAATTTCTTTTAGGAAACTACTAACATTGCAAGCTGCTTTTCATCAATCACATATCATTGCAGTTTGACATAAAAGCTGACTCTTAAAATAATACTTTTATTAATGTTAAGAAAACTACTAGGTGAAGAAAATCTGAATGAAACCCAAATCCTTTCATCAGAACAAACTCCGAATAAGATTCTCAAAATAATAATTAACAGAATTCACGTCAGTTTACAGGCATGATCAATTTGATATAAATAGTAACATTACACGTAGAGAACAAACATGTGATCTAAGATTGTTATGTTTGCTAGTTCAGTAATTGTTTAGGTTGTACATTTATGACATGTATTACAGCAATCCAATGCATCAGCAGGAAACTTTTAATTTTTTCTTAAGTGGATAGCCTGTTGATTTATGAACGCTATTATTTAAGGTTATTTCCTGTGCCAGAACGAATTAATGATAATTATCTATAATTAGAGAAAGTAAAATGAAAACAGAGAGCGCGAAACAACAAAACAATGATATAGGCAACTTACATCATCAAATCAAAACTCTCTAGGTGATATGTCTATTATCATAGCAAAGTAACGCTATTCATACTACTCAAGGTCATAAACTATTCTTCTCATCCGGATAGCATGTATACTTAGATTCTACTCTAATTGGCTAGATTTTAAAAGTCCATGGTTTACGAACATACGAACAACTTCCCTTACTTATCATCCCTACCACAGATTACAGTATGCACTTGAGTTGTTTAGTAAAACACAAAGACCTATTTTAATACAATAATTATTCTGCCACACAGTTATTTTGCTAGGCATCTTGATCATTTTATCCTTTAAATTTACCTAGTTCATTTTTAAATTTTACGGTAGTATCCATCATAAATTGAGATTGGTAGAAAAGCCATAAGAAATTAGAATAAACTCTGCATGATTGGTTTAAAATGTATTAGGAGTTCGTAACCAGGACTTCACGCAAGATTTAGACGAAAGCTTTCAATAGATTTAAGTAGCATTTATAATTATCTTACAGACCGAAATTTAAATAATTCTAACACACATATATATTTAGCCCATTCATTGCTAAATTATCCGTTCATGTTTCATAACCCTCGCGTTGCCAGTGAATTTCAGCGCTATTAGATTGTACCGTTTGAACCACAAACCGAACTTAGTTAGACAACCATTGAAAAACATGAAGTGATGATGATCTGTTCTGTTCTAGAATGTTGCTCTTTATCAAAAAATATCAACTACCCCAATGGAGGTTGAACGCAGCACCTTCTGGTAAATGCCTAACTATTAGACCGGTGAGTCGTGTCCAGTGATGTACAAGTCTAACTTTAGTCAACTAGCGATCCTTTTACGATACCGTTATATCAATCAGACATTTTTGTGGTATAAAAATATGTATTCAAAGACAAACGATAAGATGAATATTGATTTCAAATAAAGACTAAAGTACTGACGATACTAATAACAATGGAATTTATAAAGGAAAATGTATAAATTTGTTGACGTCAAAAGTTATCTAATCTGTTTTCAGTTATGACGTTTTTTCTAAAAAAAAAATGGGCAAATAGACTTTTTTTTTGCTATATAGTTCAGTTGAATAGTGTTAAAGCAACGCAAAACATTCTGTCTTATAATCTTTCCTAGATTTCGAACACTATAATTTCATTTTGATTAATTACTTGAGTTGAGATTCCTTCTATGAGAAGAATTTGATTTCTCCAGTTCTTTTTAAGAAAGAAAATTTTACTACTCTAATTTTAAAGAATGTGGTTCCTGTTTTAAAGTGACCTCTGGTAATTCTACTTCACATACAATATATTTGATCGTTGCAGGCTTTAGAATTGGATTTAGCAACACTTTGCCCAAAATTTCTTGTTTTACTTTAATGACAAGATTTATTTGATGTGAACCTTGTTGAATAGTTTCAAATAGCACGAAACCTAGGTTCAGCGTTTCCTGTCTACTACGTTCAACCACCATGTTACAATTTAACATCAAATAATGAGCTACTGAAAACGTATTAACATTTAACAGATGTTTGGTTCCAAACAGTGAACTCCAGAATGGTGTACACAATCAATGTTACATAGTGTCAGGCCCAAATACTTGAAGTTATCGTTTGGTGGAGATGTCATTAAGATAATAATTGTAGAAATGAGTAGCCTACGATTTCAGCTTAAATTAATTCATAATAAAATACCATCATCATCATTTATCGAAGGTGACTTACTGTTTTATTTCCTGCTGTATTAGTTCCACAGGTTACCTTGAGTTAATACTGCTGCAATAGGTTTAATGAAGTCTTCCGATATTATATAAAATCCGATTATAGTTTTTATCAATGACTGACATCAGTTAAAGATTTATTGAAATTTAAAGATATGGATTCGATCCAGTGTTCATTTGTGGATGCAAATTTGAAGTAGGTGATCTCCAATAAATACGCTATTCGATACTCTACTGATTTCAGGGATTCACCAAAACACTTGGATTAATAACGAAAGTTACCTCCAAATAATATATATATATATATATATGTAAATACAAATGTCATTTCGATGGATACTTATATTCACCTTATTTATTTTCATTTCATTTTATTAAGGAACGTAAATATACCACTTTGCCGGTAGGTGAAAATCTTCACGACCATCCAATGATTGGTTTAATATGCTCAGTTATAAATGGAACAACACTGACTACAAAAAGTTTAACTTTATTAGAAATATTCAAATATTATTGGCAAGGCAAAGGTATGGATGTATATGTAAACTACAGGAAAATAAACACTGAAAACAGCGTTTAAAGTTTACTCTTATCAATTTTAGTTTGAATGAAAGATGTTTATTTATTTATTTGAACTATAATATTACGTTTAAATTCAACTTAGTATTGTTTGTTTGAATCTTCCCATCGATTTTGTTAGGACTGCAACTGGTCAGTCTCTAATTGGCATATGTGCATACTGTGCGTATTGCCTCGATATACCTTAATTCACAAGCATGGTTAGCAGAGATGGATAGTGGCTATCAGGACTCAGTGGCCGAGTGGATAACGCGATGGCGTTTGAAGCGAGGGTACTGGGTTCGAGTCCCAGAGTGAACATCAACTCTGAGATGGAGGTACATCCAGCTGACGAGTCCCAAATAGGACGAAACGCGCGTCCTGGATTCCACTGCTAGCCACTATCCATCTCTGCTATAATATTACGTTGTTCATGGTAACATTATCCATAGAATTTATCGATATGAATAGGAAAATTAAATTTTAAATTTTAATAATAGGATACTTTAGTGAATTTAGTATGAAGCTAACAGACGACAAGAGTATCGTTCTACTTGATACTCATCAGTTAGATGTATCTCTACTCTAGACTTGATATTTCCTTTAAAACTCAAAACCATCACATTTCGTTTTTAACGCTAAAGCGTTATCTATTGAATTACTGAGTTCAGAAAGGCACTTACATATTCAATAGTCATATTGTTTTATACTTTTAGTGAAAGTCTTTATTCTCCCATTGTTGATATTTATGATTGAATTCAATCAGTATTTGTCGACATATATGCATCGCGTTAAAACTGCCTTCATGTGGACGTTTTGTTAAAATGAGTAAAATTGCACATAGGGGTTCAATCCAAGGCGTCTAATTTCATTTGCTGCTGAACAGCTAAATATACATTCATCTCAGTGTTGATATTCCTACCGAGACTCGAGTTCATTGTGTAGTGGACGAAAACTCAGTGTGAAAAGCCAAACATCTCAAAATCAAACAGTGTCTTTCTAAAATATGAAAACCATTAAATACACCGTTTGTTTATCGTCCTTCAATTGTCCTGCAAATACTTTTTCATTCTCCCGATTCAGTTGTTATTCCAATTGCTCTCTGTTTCCCTATCTTTTCTTTTTACTTCATTCTTCCCCTGGTTAGTTTGTCCGCACAAGTAGTGTACACCACAATCGCCTTTCTCTTCAAACATTATAACTATCATAATACTCATACCACCAGTCATTTTAATCTCAATGATCTAATATGTTGTATCCAGTTTAGCGACCTATTAAGAAGTAGTACATGATTGTTGAAAATCTGTTGGATGTTTGCAATATAACACCAAAAAACCTACGTTAAGTACAAGCGATTTTGAACATGCATAATTTTTGTTAAGTTTTAACGAACAATGGTGATGGAACTCATCAACCTGTGAGTATTAAGGGACATTAAATATTTATACTTTCAAATCAAAAGAAAATGAATCGGTAGCTTAACTTTAAGCAATCAACTTTCATTTAGTAGGCTACAGAAAGAAAACATCCCACGTAATTCGGTTTACAAAGCTTGGTGATATCATTGGGTATCACACAAAAAGTGTGGCTTAAATGCATGTACTTGGTAAATGTTCTGACAATTATCAACATTGTTTACACTTCAGAAATCCAAAGTCACCTCGTTAAGCCGTCTAAGTTAGTTTTTTATAGTTATTATTGTAGCAACGGTTACAAAACAATAAAAACTCTCGGCTCACAGTAATCCCTGAAAATTTTAGTCATCTAGGTGTTGAATTCGTTCAACGTTTTTGCAATCGCCTTAAAAAGAGCCTATTGAAAACATAGGACATAAAGTGTTAAGTCCAGTAAAGATATAATAAACAATGATTTGATTTTCTCCACCTGAGTTCTCGTTCACCACAGTTTGTATTTACAAAGATTGAAAATAGCCACTTCAAAAAGCATTCATGAATCTTTACTTAAAACCAAACTAAGTAGCTATCAGTTAGAGGAAATATGAACATGAAATCAAGATTTTTCAACACTGTGATCTAAGAACATTCAGTTGACGAGTATCAGAAAGGACGGAACCCAGGTTTTTTGATTCCATTACAGGTCTCAGTCAGGATCGATTCTAAAGCTGATTGCAAAATGGGTAAATCGACTGGTTACAATCAATTATTATTATTATTATTATTATTATTATTATTATTATTATTAGCTTTATTCAATATTATATTATTTGGTACAGAATCGAATTCTCAGCTTAAAGTATTTCAACATGTTTACGTTTCTTAATTCTTCGTTGCTCCTGATGATAAACATTCAGTGATCGCCAGTTGGATGTCAGCAGTTCAGTCAATCGACATATCAATAATATATATTCTTTTTGCTGCATGTTCCCAGCAAACACAACATCTCTGATTAGGCCTTTTGTAACCTTTACAGCGAAAGGTTGTACAGTTTTCAGAAACGCACCGGAATAGGTTGTGTGCTTAATAGCCATAATGAAGTATTAAAACAAACAATATTAGATAACTTGTTGAAATATAAAGATGACAGGAACAGGTAGCCCAGATGTTTAAGCAGGCCGCCCTCATATATCAAGATGAACATTTGCTGACAAAGACTAATCAAAATTCAGTCAAGATTATCAACAGTTAAATATTTTATATATATTTTATAACATTGATGTTTTATGAAATTGTTTATCATGATAACAAATTTGAGGTAGAGAATTAATCTGTTTTATTAATGGATTGTTTGTTTTTCATACAGGTTTACTTTCACAAGCATCAGCATTAACTTCAATTGGTTATTATCGAACAAGTTATCAAAAATTAGAAGGTGATTCGCGACCAGATATACAATACACGGTTATTTCAGCTTCACCATTCGAAAAGAATACTTTTGAAAATGTTAGTAAATATCATGATTATTGTTGTCATTATTGGTCAAAGGTACCTAATTTCAGAGTTAACATTACGGGATGATCTCAGTTAGATAACCAATGAAAATAAGGCGTTGGACATCTGTTTCGCTTTATTATTATGAGACTCCTAAATTGTACTTACACGGCTCAACCGCAGATTGAACGTAGAATACTCTAGGTTTCACAGTGATTACTGGTGTTTTGATAGCCATGGTTGATAATTAAGTAATAATGTTTCTCTGGAAAAGTTATCTGTGGATTATTATTTTTAAAAAGAGTGGTAAATAGATAAGTCTGAAATGTTCTGACGATTGTATTCAACAACCTACGTATTACAGGTTCTGATGTTGAATAAGTATACTAACCATAATAGGACGAAACGGCCGTCCAGTGCTTCCAGGTTTTCGATGGTGGTCTAGCCTCAATTGACCCATGATTTCAACCTTGAAAATACTAAATTCTCCACAAAACCCCCTCTGATCTATACTAATCTTAAGTTTGAAATTCTCTCTGACTTTTGAGAGGAGTTTATATCACGGGGTGTCTTTATATAGAAAACTATTGAAAGACATGAAGCAATGACTCTTCATTTGTTTCTAGCACCGGACTCCTTGAGAGTGAAAGCTTTTGACCTCACCAGTTATGAAATAGTGTGCACTCAGACTTTACTTTGTTTCCGTTTTCTTTAAACTAATGTGTTTGTATTCAGCGGTGAACATTTGCAACTTCGGTTTACCACCTATATATAAAACCCTTCATCGTTTTTTATTAGGACTCAAATTTTTTCGAAGTCAATTACTTGTGACCAAATTATTATTGGTTTGTGAGTTAGGTGAAGATTATTTATTTTGACCACTCTTAATATAAAATCACTTCAAGATATTAATACCCTGATTTGCCCAAAAAAATCTAATGTACAATTGTGATAAAAACTTGGCAATGTTTTCTATTTCCGATCACTTCATGGTACCTCTTTTGTTTAATCCGTTCATCTATATAATGAATTTGTATGAATATAGAATATACTTTGATATATCTATTTTCACTAGTGAAGTAAATGAATTTTCTATGTTACACATTAATTATACGTGTCAAGCCTTTCATATATTTGCACAATTCATTGTGTATGTAGGTGACTTGAACTACACTAAATGCAATTAATTCACTTCGTCCCATAATATACGTTACTTTTGCTTTGCTTAAGTTTATCGAGAAAACCAATTGCACGAAATATTCTTTTTTATTCTGAATGTGTTACTTCATAGGCAGTACAGTGAAAGAAATCAACTAAACTGTATAGAAATGAATGGAATAGATGAAGAGATTTTGATTAGAAATCCGTTCAGTTTTTAAATGGAAGTAATGTGTGCATATTTCATACATGTTACTTTAGTACACTGTATCTGACTATATGATAAATCCATGCTAGCTTAGACATTTTATTCTAGATAAACTATCACTGGCTTGATGCAGTTCTACTTTGTACACTATACTTTTCGACCGTATGAAAATTGCACATCGACATATAGATTTGCTAAATTCATTCCTGATTATAAAGTGTAGTAAATAGAATGTTCATTGAATAAGGTATGGCTTTTGTGCCTCAGTAGTTTAGTAGATATATCTTTTACGTTTGAAGTAACGGGTAATTTGTTCTTTTAACACCGAGATGCCGATACATTCAACTAGCAATTCTCAAATAGAATTTCGATACTAGAAATTCAGCGAAATATGCGCAATTAATTAAATGTCTATTTCGATAATGCAATGAGAAGACGAAGTTTATCAGAATTATATTATATATTAGCGCAATACATTTCGAACAATCTGATCACACATATACTTGTTAAGACATTTTTTATATGAAAATTAAAAGGTCAACTAGACAGGTTAAGGTAAGAAAATAAATAAAGTACACAAAAACAATGTGATGACTACTCTGGATAATAAATAAGCATTACCAGGGTAGGTTAAGGGTAAGAACAAATTGTTTTTGAACACATAAAGGGGGTTTCAATTTCCGTATAGCCAAGGCTTCAGTAAACCTTAGTATACGTCCTTGAAGGCTTTTGTACAACACTACAAATGCTGATTTGATATCAACCTTATGACCAGTTTCAATAGAGGAAGATGTTTGTCTATCCTGTGATCTTATTTGACCATTCGAACTCATTTGGTTCTGTAGCCATTTAGGTATGTGTGTTCCGCCACCCTTATTTGCAAATCACGATTGCTCCTCCCTATGTACGTGTTTCCGCACATACATGTAAATTGGTATACACAATGGGATGTGACACGATCGCTTATGTGTTGTCTAGGTTTTTGGTGAAACATCGACCTTGTCTTTTCAATGATGACAAGTTGAGCTGCATAGAATGTCCTGTTTATGGCTAATTTTAGTCTCCGTCTCAACACGAGACTATTAGAGTCACTCCTAAATGGTAATGTAATATAAATGTTTATTAATATATGTTCTTCGTTTCTATGTTGACCTTAATTAATAAAAAAATAACCTGGGATGGTGAGCCAATCAAAGTAGACAAATGAGAAGGTCAATCAATGGCATTCAGAAGTGACCTGCAAGACAGGTAGATATCACTGGCTAAGACACGGATCGATTATTTAAGAGATAGAGATGTACATACATATGAGTGAGTATTTGTGTAACCTTGGATAGCTAACAGTTACTGAGCAAAAAGTAAACAATAACAATGGTCTCTATTTTTCAATTTGTGTTAGATTATAAATTCTTTTGACATTAGGTTAATAAGAATGTAACTCATTTATTATACACAAAACTTTAAAAATACATTAATTTTTTTTAAAGTTAGGTAACTTTAATCCATCCACTTGGTATCAATACATGAAGGATGAAAATTCTAAGGATTTTGAAAATCCCATAGTTTTATTGATTAGTTTACTTAATCCGCGTTCCAGAGGAAATATTACTATGGAATACGATGACAGCGATCAGCCAACTGGAAATGTGAAAATTAATCCATCATACCTTTGTGAATTAAGTGATGTTAATCGATTAGTAGAAGGCATTATTTGGATTTACAAAACTATGCACTATATCAATGAGAAGATAGATAAACTCAATCTAAGAGAAATAAATAAAGAACGGCAAATTGTCATAAAACCTCATCTTCCTCATTTATCTGAATGTCCTGAAGTTCCTAAAGCTACAAGTTTACACTGTTTTGAACAGGATGGATTTGTTGAGAAATTGAAAATAGCCATTGAATGTTTGGTCAAGTCAATAACTCTGTCTAACTACCATCTAGTTGGAACATGTTCAATGCAATTACCTAGTAAAAATAATTCAGCTGTTGTAGACAAAAACCTAAAGTATGTCTAAAGTGGGGTTTTATAGTCAGATGATTATGTTATATATTTCATAAAATGTTTGATGCATATAGAGCGTTTAAACTTAAACAATTTACATGACATACAAAAACATATTGTAGTTATTTTAGTGTTCTGGTTTATTTCGGATCTTCAGTTTTCTTACACTATCAATCTGTGAACCATTTCCGATTTGGACTGATATATAAGATGAATTTTTCGTTAATACTCTCCGAAGGCAATCTGAAGACAAACAATGAATCTTATTTTCCTCGATAGTCTACGAAGATTCCAATTTCCATATTTCTGAATATTGTCTGGGAGTCAAATTTAAAGAGTGGGTTTGGTGATTTTCGGGATTCGTCAAATACATCTACCTTCATTCTGGTATGGTCATTACGTTAACGAAGCATCCAGTCACGTAGTCTATGCGTCAACGACCTAGGTCATTCCTTCACACCAACAGCTATCAAACACAAACCATGATGAATAATAACATGTGTTTCCACTTCAAAAAATATCTTTCCTATAACTAAATGTACAAAATGACTATTTATAATCATAAACCATTTATCGAAGTGCTTCTTATTCGATAGGAAACCTCATGAAGCTATTTATATTACTGATATTGTACTACTGAATACAGCAAATGAGAAATGATGCACTTGACCTTTACATTCATTTTAAACAATGTTAGTTGAATTCAAAGCTTTCTGCTAAACAATCTCTAATGTAGCTAAATGTTTTACAATAGAAGCAGCATAAATAAAGAAACGAACTTACAAAAACTGAAAACATTTATCTTGGTATACAATATTTAAACAGTGAAGTAACTATCATGATCTGAATAATTTATTTAAGTAATATTGGTTGACAGATCATTTAAATTTCATTCGTTAGCGCGGTATCGTAGATTTAATTATTCCTACTGTCTCAACGTGACTTAATTATCTTGATAAACATTTACAAAAAACGAAAGCATTAAATACTTAAATAGGATTTGGATCACTCGGAATCTACCTGGAGGATGTAGAATTCTCTGAAATCAAGAATTTTTGATATGGATGTGAACAGTAGGTGAAAAATTAAACATCTAATAGTTTTATTACTAAACCACTAGTCACAACTAATTATGAATTTAGACAGATCATAGTTTTTACAAAAGACTTCATATTAGTGTTTAGTTCAGTGAGATTTGAGAATGTTTTCTTCTTTGATATAAATGTATATATAACAACTCTGAAATATAATTCGTGACGATGAGTTTTAGTGAAAAGCTGTAACCATGTTGAACGTAAAACAGCTATTAACCCCAAGTAATTAAAGATGGCCGTGTGATATCGTGAATTAACTGAAGTTTGATACGTACAAAATACAATTCCATATATCGGCTTAGTGACATAGAGTTTAAAGACCTACGGCCGAACCGTAGGCTCTGGTCTAAATCCATTACAGTGGGGTCATAGGTGCACAGTGCTAAAGAGTCGCATACTAGGACAAATCATTTGCAAAGCATATCCTAACTTTCAATAGTTATCTAACTGAGATCAGTTCTTTATGTAAACTAAACTACAAAACCCCTATATTAATAAAGACCAACAGCTCAATTTTGCAAATTGAAAACTAGATAGTAATCCATATATCACTTTTATTTTGTGAACATGTGTACATGTTCCAAAATTTATCTTCTTATAATCTCCAATTCCTGTTACAGAATAATTGGTGTGAGCAATGTTCGGGTTGGGGATGCATCGGTTATTTCAAAAATTCCAACTGGCAATCCAGCTTCACTTATAATGGCTATTGGAAATCAATTAGCTAAATATATAATTCATGAAAATTGGCAACACTTGTCTTTGATGATGGGTTAAAACTTAATCATTCTAAGAAATCCATTTCAACCTAATAATTTCACTTCTGAAAGCAAAACATACAATAAATCATTAAAATGTTTCTTAAAGCATTTTGTTAAAAACATTCAGCTATAAAATGTGATTACACCTCTTCTTTATACTATAAATCATGTTAAGCAAATTAATTTATTAGCATTCATTGTATTCAATAATATTTAGTTGCTACTTTAGAATAACTGGTTAATATTGTGAATTTTCTTTGAATATACAGTTTTCTTTAACCTTTTAGCTTTCAACACTATCCGATAATCATGTGATAGAAAGATTATGTAGATTATTTATTGATGCATACATTATTACGTATATAGGATTTAAACATGATAGTTCGTTTTATATTAAGCTTACATTCATTGTTTATAAGAAATCATTACTGAATCACGTGAAATCCATGTGATCTCTTTAGTATGACGTTAAGCATTTTGACAGTTTGCTGGCAACAAAAAGTTTATAGGGATTCGGTGACTTTTAGATTAGCTCGTACAATATCATCACTGTATAATCTAATTATACATTTTTCCTTGTGATAAACGTAATCTATTAGCAGAAATGAAATTATTTTCATTACTAATAATCGCCATCAGATTTATATGTAGGCTGTGTTTCTATTCCGACACTCAAATCGAAATATGTGATTTTCTCAAGGAGCTAATACCTAGGTCTTTAACCTAGAAGTGTAATCCACATGGCTATAGGGCGGAGTTAGTAGACAGTATCCTATGGTTTCAGGCAAATAGAATAGATTCATAAGTTATTTGTTTACTAAGCAGCACGTGCACCAATGGTTTGCTATCAGAATTTTCCAACTCTTTAAAGGATACCTTCCATAATTAAAAACTGGTTAAAGCACCGGACATCCGCTTTTTTCACACATATTTTCTTGATCAACGTACATGTTACATGAAAGTAGTAAGTTGGGCTTTCCTTTCAGAGATTATACACTCACGACTGCACAAGAGCACTTGGATAGAAAAAGTGAAATCTCTCCACCCTGAGTGGTATCAGAGCATTTAAGGGCTTAGAGAAGTAATAACACTTAACACATTTAAAGATCTATCTTACAACTTTATTAACTAATTCACTACATTAAGGCAATACTTATGAATAAGAGATAGTATCAAATGTGGGAGAAAGAATTTTTCTACTAACAAATGTCCAGGTGCATAGTAGTTTAGGAGAGCGGTTGTAGTAATAATACCAGGATTTGTCAATATTTAAAAACCAATAAAGCCTTATATCTAAATTGGTTACGACTAGGCATTGATCAGTTTATTTTGTTTCACCGAATGACAAACTTGTGCTAAAGCCCTTCTAAAAGTGTCTACACATAGAAGGTTGAAAAAGCTTGTCAACAAAGATGTGGAAAATAGTATTGTGAGTAAATACGTACTACTTCAATTGATAACATTATTCACTTAAACTAATTTTTCGGTGAAAATATACTTTATAATGTACACAACAAATTACTATCCATAAATACCGCAACTACTAACACTGCCGAAGTGCATACTAATACTCACATTGTCTACCAGCCGAAAATTGATCAATACTCATTGACAAATCACTCACAATTGAGTCAGAAAAGTCATCTTTGCTTATCATAGAGAGTGCATGAAAGATTTAATATACCTTTCCTCTAATAGTTTCTGAGAGTCCTAACGTTGAAAGAAGCTTTCGGTCATTAACAATTGCAATGAATTGGCACCTAATCAATCTGCAACATTTTTAGATGTGTGAATATCACTTTTAAACTATTTAAAATGCATAAAATCATTATTTTTATTATTGTAATTGTTATTTACGATTACAACGGAACAATTTAAGAGTGAGTTATATATAAGAAAGATAACAATCAGTCTCGTGTTGCCGTGGTAACTTTGTGTTGACCTGATTATATGATCTTTTTGTTTCGTGTTTAACCGTTTACCTGATTGTAGACTTAATTCTTATCAAATTTTTCTGTACGTAAAGTTTTTTTACATACCTGAAATGGAGTTATCTTTGGAAATTGATGTGACATAAAGAACTAATAATAAATCAGAAAATATGAACATAGTATAATTGCAATCCCTATAACAGATTTAATTCAGAGCTCGCATGTCTTGAAATATATATGCTAATTTTAAACAGTGGTACACATTTCCAAACAACATTAAATGTTAACATAATCAATGTTATAGGTTAGTTCATATTGTGCTCTGGGTTGAGGTTACTCTGTTGATCATGGATTTTCATAAGATCACCGAGATCTTCACATTCACATCTGTTTCCAATGTACATACAATTATTTACTGAAATTATCGTCATAATAATGCTTTTCTGAGATATTCTATAACAAGATAGAACATTCAGTTATCCAAACAACCAATGTCTATGTATGAATCAAGAAGTTAACATTGAATCCTTTAGCAATGCTCAACAAACCCTTATATGTTTATTCTTTAATTGTGTATGAGAAAACAAATGTCTATTTCTAATCTCACTTAGCTCATGCATTGTTTGGGCTTGTCTGTAGATAAAGATAAAATTAGGTAGCAAGATTTATAATTGTGTCAACCTAATTCTTCATTATTATTTGATTTAGGTATAAGTAATTTTAAATGATACTAGAAGCATCGGTTTACCATGTTATCCATAAATGTAGATCTAACAATCACAATGTATCACCAGTTAAGTCACGATAGCTATATACTTAGATAGACGGACGAATCATATGTTTTACTAGAAACAAAGACAACCATGAGTAGCTCATGTTTATTCTACTAGTATTTACCTAGTGAGGGCGGTTCTCACTTGTTCTTGTGTTACTTCACAGTAGTTTGGTTGTAATTTTTAATTCAGGTTATCTCTTATTCAGTTATCAGATGTCATCACAGTTTTTCATAATTTTCATCCAGTTGCAATTACTGCCAATCCCTAAGCACGCCTGTCATTTCTTCATATCTGTCAAGTGGGCGATTACGTCACAGACTTCTGGTAGGTAAATTATTTTCATTTTCAACTTTTAAACCATTTTCAAACTAGCTTTTGATACTTGGACTCTTTGAATACTTAATGATGTACTGTCATTCTGTTGTACGTTAGGCTAATACACTACAAACGCAATTGTACGGATTTAAATAATCTTATTTATTCAACATATATCGTATAATAAAAAGACCATATATAAACAATCGACATTAGATGGACAATCTCCAACAAATACAAAACTCATTTGTGAATGTTAACGACCGGACAATTCAAACCCTTACTAGTAATGGTATAAAAACTATACTTCTTGAACAAAATAATGATTATTTAAACCTAGTAGATCAGTAAATAGAGAGTTTGAGTTTGAACAGAAAAATACTGGGTTCGAATCCCAACATGAATAAACATCGACATAGTGATGAGGTTACATCTAGCTGACGAGTCAAAATTAACCGAGATATATGTCCTGGATTACACCTCTAGACACAATCTATCTATTCCATATAACCTCACTGAATCGTTTCCATTTATTCTTCAATGATACGATGGGCCTCTTTCTTTGTACATTTGAGGTAATTGTAGTTACCAGAATAAGTCATTATCACTAACATTCAGCTATGGATACGATGTGATAGACGAGTTCTTATATAAGTGAATAAATAAAATTAGAAGACCAGTCAGTTCGAAGATAATTTTCTTAATAATCATTTTATCAACTAATGTGAACTTATAAAATCGTTAACTGATTACTAATACACTTTCGCATTGAATTAGTATCCTATAAATAATAGAAAATTTATGAATTATTGATTTGTTTTTGCTTTATGATCAATATTGTGTTTAGCTAAAATGAATCAACATTAAAGTAAATAGCACTTTTTGAAAGACATATCGATAAAAAATAATCAATAAACTATTGAATGAATTCATACATTTTTTAATTACAAATTGATTAGAAATATTGTATTTCAATATAATATTGATTAATTAATAAAAAATAAACTCCAAATCATTTAAATAATCAATAAATTATTAAATTATTTTGAGTAATTTAAATATGCACCGTTAAAAATTATTGAGTTTTCTAAAACAAATGAATTAGAAAAAAAAAGAAAAGAACATAGTGATTAGTAGCGTACAGAGATATTAGGTGTTAATCAGTAAAATACAATTAATTGTAGCAGAAGTTCATTATATATCAGTAATTACAGAATAATTCTAAGTAAATACTAGGATTTAAACATAGAAAAGCCCTTTGTCACATCCAATACTAATAAGCTGTATTTATATGTGTTAATGCTCAGACAGAAAGTAAAAACTAGTACTCAATGATTGAAATCCCTGTAGAATAATCATTTAGACGCATTATAATCCTTTAATAGATATAGAAATATTATATTCTAACAAACTGAAATGAGTATTGCTAATCCAACTATCTTTAATAACAGTGAATTATAAATCTATGCAATATTCAAACATTTGTTACGGAAACCCATATGCTGAATAGGGGAATAGTCAATATCAATTTAAATATTTACAGTGAAGAAATACAAGTACCTGGAATTCATAATTCATTTATTAAAATTAATTATTTATATGAAGCTTTACGAAACGTTTATGAGATGAAATTAGGTCATATTGTTTGTAGTAAAAGGTTGTATTAAGTAGAGACAACCTGTTCATAAAGCTTGTTACAGTTCATTTTATCGAGTGTATCGAAGAAATTAACATTTCGTTTGAAGAGTTAGACTAATATCTTCTAATATTTTAGCAATCCATCATGACAACTAGACCAGCCATGTTGCCAGCATGATCTACCATAAATCACATTAAGGGCATAAAATTATTTGCAATGGTATTTATAGCACAATATAGGGTTAAGTTCCGTGAATCATTAGAAAACTGGACAGTTGATTCTTCTCATTTTGATAAGCACTGAGTAAGTTTGCTTTGCAATAACATTAACTATTATAGTCTATTTGCACATTCTTTAAATTTATTCTTTTTAAACCACATAGTTACTACTTAAATAATAAATGAGTTGATTGATCTGTTTGTTTTCAATGTTTCGTCATTCTAAGGATTCGTATTAAGTGTTATTTGTTGTTAGCGAGTTTTTTCTGGATTGATTGCGGTTAGACAACCAGTGAACCAGAAAGTAGTAGACATCCATTTCGTCCTAGTATGGCATTCCTTAGCTGTGCGCATACATCACCTCTTCAGGGGGATCGAATCCAAGATCTTCGGATCTACAGCGAGATCTTAATATTAAATCTACTGAGTCAGGATCTAATGGTTTATGTGTCCGATTTCAGTCAATCTGAGATGTCCCGAAATAAAATTTTATTTATGTTAGTGGATAAATGCTTCAAACTCGACTTGCCTGATCTACAATAGCCACGAAATTTCATTCGCACTTCTGGAATTACATCTTGAAATCCGTCACAATATTCTTTTTAGTTTGAGGTGCTTGTGAAAATTATTGGATGTTCATAGTCTTCATCATGATTTGACCTTATTTAGACAATCAGTTTTATATCAAGTAAAGTATAATTCAAAACGTCACATTTGAAATAGAGTCCATTTCAGCCATGTAGTTGAGCCAATCATGAATTGTAGACTATGAATCCACTTTTTTCAGGCCAGCTTACAGTTTCAGAGTTCGAACATTTTTACTTACTGACTTAATGCATTAAATACTATTGTCTTTCGCTGTTAAAAGTATTGATTATTTCCCAAACGTCAGCCATGCAATATGGCTAGTCATCTCTTCTACCTCCGTATTATCCGGTATATGGAAAGTAGTTGTGAATAATGTTTAACACTCATTTACTATTTAAACGACTTACCTTGATGCTAATGACTGGAGTGCAAAAGTGAATCAACCTCAGAGCGCAATAAATCACATACGAACTAAATGGATCAATATTTTTGATGAAAAAGACTGCGCCGATTTACTGTTTTTTCATCACTTTCAACACCTTTTAGGTCAGTGAAGCAGATCTCCGTGACTGCCTAGCAAGTATAGGCAGAATGTTATGAAAATGAATATTGTCATCATTTTTAATTGGTCAGATTTCACACGTCTTTCTAGAATACAGATGTACAACTTAATGGTAAAAGCTAAGCATACGAGTGTATTTATCACCAGCCTAAAATATCGCTCATTTTGTTAGTGATTAAAATGCAACTTGCTGGTTAAAATGTCTCGTCAATCCACAATCAATGGATATATGTGAGCATATGACCGTTGTGTTCAATAATAAAGAATTGCCACTGGAAATAAAATGAAAATAGGTTGATGATTTAACTGACGGGAAACTAAACAATCACTGCTGAGGAGTCACATAGTAGGACGAAACGGCTGTCTAGTGCTTCAGGGTTTTCAATAGTGTTCCAACATTGACCGTTTGATGATCTAAATGAAAAACATAACAACATCCACAACCTTATACTGATATTATTACAATGTCTTTAAAGGACGTTTATTTGTCAATCCAATTTAGTGGATATTTTAAGTTGCTCAGAATTATGATGAACTTTCTTTTAATGTTAAGTACTTGGAGGAGGTTGATAGTAACCTCTCAAATTAGGTTTCCTATTGCTTAGGACTTTTAATCAAGGGGAGTTAATAATCCATGAGAATCTGTCTTTCTTCTTGGAATTCAAATCTATTTCAGAGTAAGAAATATTAATGAACAGCTATTAAGTCCACAGCTTGACCGTGAAAATAAGCCAAGAGGGCTAGAAACTTTCGGTTGCCAGTATTTCTTTCAAGACTCCAGATACCCTTTATAAATGAGTCAGAGACAGTGCACAAGTTAGACTTATGAATTCCTGTTATGAAAAGCTTTACAACAAGACAGTTTAACACCCTCTCCGATTGTCAAAGGGCTAGTTTAAGATTATGATATTCTACCATTACTTATAAAATAGATCGTAGTTTCATAATTATTGTAAATTTCAGGGCTTGACAAAACAGTTATTCAATACTCTGTGGTTCTTCAAAACTGAATGTTTGTTTTAAACCATAAAATCGTAAAATGCTAAAATGCACACTAACTCACATTATTCATTTATTCACTATTTGTATCATTTATCCGTGATTCTAAACTTCTCCTTGAATTTGATTCATCTTGACAAAGCAACTTAACACAAACAGCTCCAGCATCATATAATGTCGGGTAGATTGATTTCAATCCAGGACAGACATTCCAATCACATGTAGATAAACATTTGAATGGAGTTGGATCTAAAAGCCGACGCGGATTCGTTTAACATTTATCCTTAGTATTAAGTGTGAATGGATGAGTTAAAAGATTTTATTTAAATGATAACTTTTAATATGTTAACGTTCAAACAGCCCTGAGAAAAACATTACTCGAAATGTCCTGATGTTACTAATATTGTCCTCTAATTAAAATGTTTAACACAAAGAGATAAGCTATTCTAATATTATGAAAAAAATTATTGATGAACCTAATTAAGAATGATGAACAAATCAATCAAGCTTCCCGATTAAACTTGATCACTGATTGTTTGTGTGGTGTATCCAAAATTAATTCGTTCTTTTTTCACTAATGAGAAGGCACTGTTGAGGTCAAAGTACTTTTTAGAAAGTGTTGACAATAGGCGACGAAAGTGTGTTTTCTCAAGAAAAATCTACTGGGATGACAGTCTTCAAAGACGACCACCCGAATACTGCTCGTGATATATTTAAAAATTATCTGGAACTGTTAATTCGAAATATAAGACCTTTGTATAGTCTACCGTAGCTATGCACCAAAATAACAAAATGATTTTTGTGGCAAATGGAAAAAAAACTTCATATTGAACCTATTTACTATTTCATTTTCTCTCTGTGGAAAATTAAATTGAAATAAACAAGGTAAAAGTAGCTGTAAACTTATCTTGAATACCAATATCATCTTATCTTTTGTTGTCTAATTTTAGAAGTGATAATAGTTGTGAATCAATTGAATGCCAAATCAATGTCAAAAGTTTGAACGCTTGTTAGGCTACCTGAAGGTGTTGGATTCGATAGTCATAGAGATCATTGATATTCACTGCTTCCTGGTCTCAAGTGATTGATCCGTAATTGTTTTTATTTTTGTTAATTTTACTTAAGATTGATGAATTAATATTATTTGATCAAAAACAAAGAATGAAGACACACCATAGTTCTCAGAAGGGTTTTTTTATACAGTTGAGATCATGAGTCATTTGAAGCTGGACCATCATGGAAAATCTCGAGGCAGTGGGACTCCTCAGCAGGGTGCATCCACAATCCCGCACTCGCGAGATTCGAACCCAGGACCTATCAGTCTCGCGCGCGAGCGCTTAACCACTGGACTACTTAGCCGGTATTCAATGGTTTTAATGCCTAACTTCAACAAAACTCCCTTCTGATAATGATCATATGCTCACTGGTGACTGGCTCCATGAGGTATTTCCTAGAGTTCTAGTGAGAAGTAGTAACCAGTGGAGTTCAATCAGGTCTGTTGGGGGATATCAATTCACTGGAGATATTGGTGAACGGTTGCTCAATTTCGTGGACTGGTTAAAGTTAGACATTAACACCTTTGGATGCCGACCAGTTCAGTGGTTTAGTGGTTAAGCGCTCGCGCGCGAGACTGATAGGTCCTCGGTTCGAATCTCGCAAGGCGGGATCATGAATGACACACCATAGTTGTTTGAATTACAACAATTATTTCGGATTTCTGACAAATTGTCAAATTTAATAAGGTTCGCCGAAGCCACTGCCATAAAAAGACTTAAAACGAATTGATACAACCAGAAAGATTCATTTGTTAAATCGACTCAGTCTATCAAACAATAAAGAAGACGGTAAACACCTGAAAGATCAGAGATCAGATGACATGTGAAAACGACCAAGACAAATATTCGAATAACGGCCACACATCAATGAAAGGCAACCGACGAAATTGTAGGTCAGATGGTTGTGGGAAATTTCTGATAGTTTACTTCTTACTGGAGTATGTAGTAATAAAAGTTTGACAATTCAACCATCCAGCTTAGAGGAAATAACAATTTGAAAATTATGAAGATTTAATAAGTCATCATGCAAAAAAAGATAAGAAATACTTTACCTCCACATAGAATCACATAGAGATTATTTTTAAATAAATTTCGTTGTATTTCAGTGAGTGCAGCAGCCCCAGCTGGGTCAATGTGAGTAATTCCAGATATGTCCAACAGTAGGAATCTTCGTAATTTTGCCCCACCGTGCCTCATTAGAAAGTCATGCAGGTCAACATGTAACGGAGGTCGATTTGCTTCAGTTTGACGATGAGCCAAGTTACATTTTTCTGACCTGAGTATCTGAAATGATACCGGTATATTCAAATGTAGGTAAAGGATGAGGAGGTGTAAAAAAGGAAACAAAAACAGAAATCTAAATTGTAAATAAACAATCATCGAGTAACTGTATGGGACATTTTATTTATAGTATCAATAACTAAACTCAGTTTATTCTCAATTTTATGTTTGATTACAACTATACTTGCAAAAATTCTACGGTTACTCCTGATCCCAAAACCGAATAAACGAGGAGTGTAGGACGTAAAGTTAGAAACCCCATCCAGTAGAATACATACTTATTAAAAACACACTAACCAGAAAATACTATTTAGACCTTTTGAACTCTGTCATGGGGCTCAAACTATCTTCATTTAAAAGAGCTATAGAGCTACATGACAAAATCTGAGGTTCTCCGGCAATCACGAGACCTACGCCAATTTCAACGACCAGGTCAACATTTAACATAGGTAATTGGAATATCAGCACAAAATGAGGGACCGGAAGGACCAATCAAACAACTGCAGAAATGAGGAGATACAACCTGACGGTGCATGGATTCAGTGAAATCGATTGGAATAAATCTGAACAGCAAATATTAGATTCGGGAGAGTTTTTGCTGTACTCTGATCATGAAGAAGAAGATACTACACACACACACACACAAGGAGTTGCACTGATGCTATTAAACGAAGCAACTATGTGATGGATATTTTATAGATTCACAATCATCGAACCATCATTCATAACAGAGTAAAAGAAATTCAGAATCAATGTTATACATTGTTATACACTCAATAATGAAAGTAATGAAGATGATAAAGGTCATTTTCATGAGAAGCTGAATTAGATCGGAAAGAAGTGTTAGGAAAAGAAACTGACAATCCAGGTAGTCGGTATAGAAAACACCGGCTATGAAGATGTCATGGAACTAGATGGACTGAGAGAGGGGGATGAGAATGATGCGAGATTTGTGAGTTTATATGCCTTCAACGCAATGGTTATAGGTGTCATGATATTCTCTCATAAATACATGTACAACGCTACATGGGTTCCACCGTGTCACACTACAGAGAACCAAATCGATCATCGTTGCATCACTGAGGAATTCAAACAGCCACTGGAAGGCGTGAGAACCAAGGGGTTAGCTGACATAGCTTCAAATCACCAATAGCTGGTGGTTGCCAACATGAGGCTGAAACTAAAGAAACAATGGACAACTAGACAAAAACAACGTGGCAAAATTATGATACAGTGTTCCTTCGAGATACTGACAAACTAGGCTGATTTAAAATGCCATGATCAGTGGATTCCGATTCGTGTAAAACATTTATCCAATACAGACAATGAATGAATGTTTGCGCAAGATCATAGATCAATTGGAGTTGGACATTAACACCGTTGAATGCCGACTTACTGGTCTAGAAGTTAGGCATTTGAGCGTGAGATCGAAGTTCGTAGGTTCTAGTCCCGCATGAAGGATGTTGAGTGTGCCCTGCTGAGCGAAACGACCATCCAGTGCTCCTAGGTTTCCAATGATAGTCTAGCTTAGGTTGACTCATAAACTTAACTATTAAAATTACTACTATCCCCATTCTGAAAATAAATCTCAAAAGGAATTTTTTTTTCATTAAGTGAAATGGTGGCCTGGATTAATTAAACATAACATAAAGAGTCGTGACATATTGATTATTGGGAGCACATATCGTATAAGTAGTAATATAAACCAAATTTTTATTTTCCAAATGATGATTTTGTCTGATGAAATTCGTGAATGTTTCTTTCATAAGACTGTTGGATTTTTGTATCTTTCCTGCATGTATTTACAACTTTTTATAAAATTATAAGTTTCAAAACATTAATATGGGTAAATTATTCAGCTAACAAATTCATATTAACACTTTAAATGTACAGAAACGTAAGCAGTTGGTTGTATACTGAACTTCAAAGAATTCGGTTGAATCAATACTCTGGTGAATGAAATAGTCATTTATGCAAATGTCCAGCTGTGATAGTTTAAACTTGAATGATTCACTTAAATATATTGATATCATATAAAAATAAATGTTCAGTACAGTTTACCATTATATATATGTATCTAAGTAGAAAAAATATATAATTTAACATATATTGTCAGCCTATCATATTATCTGTCAGTATCTGATCATGTTTTTTCGAAGATAAGAAATGTCACTGTTGAACTGCTTTATTGTGAACTCTACGTTGTTATTTCGTATATGAATTGTATTGCAACGCACCCTGTGACAGTAAAGAATATGGTTTAGAACATCTTACATGGGAGCAATTGTTTCCAGATTTTAGATCTCCCTTGTTAAATTAGTGACAACTGGCACAAAACCTGTCGCTAGAACCTCTAATCGTTTCCCTTCAACCGCTTCACATATACTTTTTAATACTGCTTGAAAACGATAATAAGTTTTCAAAATAAACATTTGTAAACAATTACTCACATCACTTGATTTACTGACAACATTGCTATTTCTCAATGAGTAATTAACATCGGATTTTGTTCCATTTCTCTCATCTAAATTTTTCGCAAGTTCATAAATATTATTCTTATTATCTTTTGTATTCATAGATACTTCACTTAATTGACAATGATTACGATATTCATATTGTATGGTATCATTCATTGTATTGTGATGAATTGATACATTATTATTAACATAATTGAAATCTTCATCTAACATCATATTATTAATTGTTTTGTAAATACGTTCTGTGAAGTTTTCAGCTGATGAAAAATTCAATGAACCTAGAACACGTATTGCTTTGATCGATGACAATAGATAATCAGATTGAGTTTGATCAATTTGTGTTTTGGTTAATAGCTTGATAAAAGGAAAATTAATAATATCCAATAGTATATACAGAAAACCCGTGAAGAATTTTAAAACGGTAATCAAAAGTAACTTCTTAGATTTTAATTGAGATCATGAATTGGTAAATGTTAGATCACCGTTGAAAACTCAAAAGCACTGGACGGCCGTTTCGTCCGAGTATGGGATATCTTAGCAGCGTACATCCACGATCCCACACTCGGAACTTCAACCAATGACCTTCGGTCTCGAGCATGAACGCTTAATCTATAAGCCACTGAGCTGGCATCTGGCGGTTTTAATGGCTAAATTCCACCAGTCCATAATATTGCGCGGCTGTCCTCTATTATCTTTAGTGAGTAACTGCCTCACGAGGTCCTGGGTTCGAGTACCGCGTACAGGGTCGTGGATGGACACTGCTGAAGAGCCCTGTACTAGTACGGAACGGTAGTCCACTGTTTCCAAGTTTTCAATGGTGGTCTAAGATTGACCAATTAATGATCTCAATTAAAAACTAAACAAAAATCTCCACAATCCTCTACTGGTAATTTCTTAGATATTTCATGATTACATTATATTTTTAAATGGTTATCATTTATTGAATTTTAGCGACCCTAATCTGAATCCAATTAGATTGTATGATGATTGTTATCAAAACATACATGCCGCCAATTCTTGCATACAATTATCGACCTAACTCGCGTTAGTGAATAACGGAATTAAATAAGCCATATGCGAGAATAAATTATGTATACGTATATTTCATGCAATCATTGATTTACAAAGACAATTAGAAAAATGCAGGGAAGGAAGCGAAGCGAAATGAAATGAAGCGAAGTGACGCGCAGAGAAGAAGGCGAATGAGCCAACTCAATATTTTATAAGAAAAAGATTATCAGAACTATGTGATATATTAGCTCAATACATTTCGAACACAATTTGAAACCTAATCAAATTTTTTAATATTATTATTATTATCCCTATCTACTCTTACCCCCCCATTTTCAGTCTAATTGACCTTTTATTTTTATATATAAATGTTCTTAACAAGCATATGTGTGATCATATTGTTGGAAATGTATTGCGCTAATATGCAGGTACATCCAGCTGACGAGTCCCAAATAGGACGAAACGCGCGTCCTGGATTCCACTGCTAGCCACTATCCATCTCTGCTTACCATGCTTGTGAATTAAGGCCATATCGAGGCAATACGCACAGTATGCACATATGCCAATTAGAGACTGACCAGTTGCAGTCCTAACACATCGATGGGAAAATTCAAACAAACAACACTAAATGAATTTAATAAATCACATGGTTCTGATAATCTTCGTCTTCTTATTACATTATCGGAAATTAATAAAGGGACTAATTCCTTCCAATATTTATAGTCAGACCAAAAATAAATTACTGACACGTGATGAGTAGAGTGGGCAATCAACACACATACAGTCATTGAAAAAAGTTAGGGTTAATAAGAGAATAATCAACAAGGTCAAAATGTGGCTTGAGAAGAATGAATAAATTGATCTGTTCAGAAGCTAGAATAACCTATGTGGGTTTGACATAGAACCAGTCACTGCAGAGGGTCATTCACATCATGAACTTGATATTATTCAAAGACTCAATATGAACTATTGACCACAAAAAAACTGAACAGTAATAGTTTGAGATTTCTTATACTCTGAGAACATTGAAACTTGTCATTGACCACGATATCATTAAATCACTGGATTGACATCCAGCAGTGCATATTTTAAACCACAATAGATTCATGACAGTTCTATTTTCATGTGTCATCGACGATCTACTATTTATCAATTCGACTAGCTAGAAAGTCAGTCACTGCTTCAATTCTAAGCAATAGTAAACTATGGTAACCAGCAGTTCTTAGAATTTTACATAGATCTCAACAGTGTATTAAAAATTAATCACGGTTTAGCCAGGTGATGACGGCAACAGTTCAAAGAGCTACGATAAGTTATGGAGTACCATTAGTTAACTTTAAAAGTTTACATTCTTCTACAACAACTGATAAATACGCCTCCCAACTAAGTGACTTTCTTCTGCGTACTACATAGTGAAAGGTAAGTCTTAAAAAATTCGTAAATCAGTCACCCTATTGGTAGAAAAAAAAATAGATAGTAGATAAACGGACATGTATGATATTCTATTTGTGTACGTCGTTTCCTTAGAAAAAAAGAAAACATTTAATCGATTGGCTTTTTAGATGTTCCTCTTCGATTTATTTTGGGCGTTCCCCTCCTATTGTGATAATTTCTGTATTTTGATATTTGCTAAGAGAAATATTTTTGTATATACAGAAAATACTATTGCGAAATAAGTTACAAACAAATAAATTCAAGAATGGAACATTTGAATGATTTGTTCAGCATGAAATCTATTTTCGTATACCCGTTAAGGTCATGGATTCTTATACCAGAGAGGAACAGTTATCCAGTGCTGTATTTCTCTTAGTGAGTGTCTACCTAAGATCAGTTCGTGATATAATATGAATAACCTATCACAAAACCCTAACACTAATGAAAGTGTTTCTTTAATAACACTTGCAATTCAATCGCGTTTGTTGCTGAAAAAGTTTGCTTAATTACGAAAAACGATTTTCATCATGAAGCTAAATTTTGTCATTTAAAGAAATATTGAGAATCAGGAACACTAAACATCAATATCAAACACTTGTCCAATCATACACTTTCATCATTAGATTCGCAGTTTATCTATTAATCAATTAGTGAACGCTTTCATAATTAGTCAACATCTCAAATTCTAGATCCCTTTTTCTCAATTCCATTAATATTAGTAAGTAGGACAGTTACTTAAAAATGTTGAACATGAAGATTGATTTAAAGTTACAAGAACAAGTGGGTAAATCCTGGTGGATTATCCAGGCATAAGTAATGAATATTTTCAAGGTATTGTGGTAAAACACTAAAACAGATTATTGTTTCGGGTTTTGATAATTAATTGTTAATTAAAAATGAATATGAAAAGAAACTTTTGTACATTCTACGGGAAGGAAGCTATTTTGCTGGAAGAGACGCAGTACAAAAAATTATTAATTCTTTGATTTTTGTACATTCATTCTAACCAATACAACCCAGCAAACTTTTATACAAAACTATATAAAGAAAAGTCGATAATCTAAATGTATAAATAACACCTTATCAAGACCATGAAGATACCTGAAACAATCATCTTCGAAGTCATATGTATGCAGCATTGAAAATTGCACACTAACTGCTTAACTTACATTCCAAGTTATTCAATATATCTTTAGCGTTGGTAGCTAGTAGAGAATGTATGCTTCAATCCATTTCAAAATCGCCAACTTTTATTTATCTTCGTTTCCGTTACTGTAATCTGTTTCTTTGAAAAACTTAGGGTATTTTTAGAATTAACTTACGTGACTGAATTTACCAGTCCATTTTACAGTATAGATTCACTGATGAAAAGCTACGATTTGTAATTCCCTAACAAATAATAGTTCAACGCATATAATATGAACGAAGAATGTTCTTTCCAATAAATTATTTTCAGGCTCTACATTTATCTATCCAAATTGATAATCCCAAAAAGTGGCCAGATTTAGGGCAAAGTTCATTGTTTAAAGTTATAGCAAGTTAAATAGTTTAAAACTGCTAATATTGAAGTAACTCATATGCAACGTTAACTTGAATCAGCTTATACATCCTGTGCAATTTTAAAATCCATGATCAGGATAAATATGGTCAGGAAAAGTGAGAGGAGTAATGGTGCTATTACAAACAGGATCAAATGTTTAGAGGAAGACTATAATGTGTAAAACCTTTATATGAAATTAATAAAAAATAATAAGGTCGGATGAATGCCAAGTAGATAAATCATATATTCAGGAGACTATTAGTGATTTTGAACCACTAACAATAACGATAATAATTATATAAAGATATGTGAATAAAGTTATCAGACACAATTATATTTTAATAGTTGAATTCATGGGTCGATCTATGCTAGACCACCATTAAAATCCTAGAAGCACTGCAAGGCTGTTTCGTCTTAGCTTCAAGATGAATTTCCTAGAGTTCTAGTGGGAAGCGGTGACCTGTGGAGTCCGATCTGTGCCGGGTGAAGACAGTTATCCATCTCGAACAATGAATGAATGGTTGCCCAAGATCATAGATCGATTGGAGTTAGACAAACACCGTCGAATGCCGGCTCTTCGGTTTATAGGTTAAGCATTCTCGCGAGACATAGGGTCCTGGGCTGGAGTCCATCGCGCGAGATCGTAGATGCGCACTTCTGAGGAGTCCAATACTCGTACAAAACGACCGTCCATTGCTCTCAGATTTTCAATGGTTGTCTAGCCAAGATTACTATTGATTAATTGATCAACTTCAGGTCTGGTGATCCAAGCTAAAATACGATTTGTATTAAGTTATAAATAAATATTTTATTCCTACAGGAGAATTAAAAGCGCTAGTTGGTTGGATAACTATGCGATAGATTTCCGTAACTTGGATTTGTTGGGGACAATATGTATAACAGTTACCGAATTCGAGTATTTGCGAAAATGACAATAAACTAACCTAACAATGAATTAATAATCTAATCATTGCAGATGTTTTCAAAAACTCACAACAAAATTTAAATTGATGAGACTGTTAAAAAAACTCACCACGCGACTACTTATGGAAAATGCAATACATTATGTTGATGAAACATAGAAAGAAAGCAACTATTTTTAGTTAAGTGAATGACAAATTACTCTTAGGAAAACACCAAACAAATCACACTGCTGGCATACGTAATGAGATGCATTGTATTTGTAGAGATTCAAAAAATCAACACGAAATGAACTAGGACTCCACCTGATTGCACAAGCTAGTGGCTACCCGAACTCGGTCGCCAAATGAATAACGTGATGGCGTTTAAAGCAAACGGTACTGGATTCCAGTCATGAAGTGAACATCAGTTCTGAAATGCAGGTACATCCATCTGACGAAACACATGTCCTGAATTCCACTGTCATCAATCGTCCATCCCTATTTATTATGCACGTCACTTAAGCCAATATCGAGGCAACCCGCGCAGGATGCTCATATGCCAATAAGAGACTGATCAATTGCAACCCTAAGCATCAATGGGAAGATTCACACAACCAATACAAAATAAATTATTAACAGTTTAGCTTACTTCATAATGTTTATGGACATAAAGTTCTGTGCCTGAGATATTGCACAATTCCAGTAGTTTGATGCTTCGCTGTCTTTCCGTTAATACAATAAGACAAGAGATTAGACCAACTAACAGACCATAAGTTACATCAAGTATGAGAGTTCCCAAAAATGTTACGGTGAATAGAAACTGTCCAAAAAGAAAAAAAAGATTGAATATCCATGAAATGTGTGTGTTATGTCTTAATTTCATTTTGTAAGCAATTTGAATGATGCACTTACTGTTTATTAAATACGTAATGAGAACGACACGACATAAAGGTATCAAACTAATTTTGTTATCGTTTGTAACAGAAGTGATTATTATAATCGACAATATGAGATAATGGATAATATTGTAGCTCATGGTAAGGATTCTGATGGTGTTCTGTTTGGTGAACTGAATTTCTTGATCTTGGATTATACAATGTCTTCCTCAAGAACATCATTATCACATACTCCAGTAAGAAGTAAATTAGTAGAAACTCCCCACAATCATCTGACCTAGAATTTCGTTGGTTGCTTTTCATTGATGTCTTGATCGTTTTCACATGTCATCCGATCTCTGGTCTTTCAGGTGTTTATTGTCTTCTTTATTGTTTGATAGACTGATTCGATTTCGATGTGTCCGTTTATTGATCTGTGACCAGAAATTCTCTTGTTTTCTTTCTGTGTCCATTGTCCAATATTTCGACTTTTCTCCAATCGTCAGCATGTCGATAGTTGTCTACATGCATTGTTACAAATGAATCTATGTATTGATGTTTAACACCTAACTGATGTTCATGTAGGCGTAGATGGAGAGGGCAGTCATATTTTCGTGTGAAGTGTTTCACGAAGATGTATCAATTTCTATCGTATATGATGTTTATTCTGTCTTTGTTTGTTCTTGTTTCCTTCGGTCTGCATATTGACCCCACCTAGGTTTCTCAGCCCTAGCAGCAAGAGCCTAACTTTTAGCTCACCGAATCGAGATTCATTATTCTACACATCAAACTTTAATCTATTAGTTACATTATGCAAACATACTTCAATACCACTGATGGACAACTGTTTCACATCTGAATCTTATTGATCACGGCTTCTTACTGAATCTACAAAATTAATCTCACAATTTTGTTACTATTGGGCATATTATTACTACTACTAAAGACGGTTTGTAAAGATTTCGACTAATATGAACTAAATTGTTAACACAAAAACGACCATCTTTTTGGACTAACTTCTTAATGTAGTTTCATAGTCATTTATTTCACTTTTCTACACATTTACAAATTTACAAGAATGAACAAGTCTGTTAGAAGTGAATTATTCATTGAATGAATTAAGCTTTATACGTGCATATAAATAAAAGACAAAGTTGGGTTACTTACAAAATCTGGTTTATAAGTATTCCATAGATAGGGCAGTTTCTTCGGCTGTGTCAAGATATTTTTCAATGCCACCACAATTATAGCAGATAAAATACACTGGAAACAAAAGTATAATTACTGCGTTTTATGAATAATGATTAAATGCTCTTTTTATAATTCATCTCGGTGTTTACTTTTTGCTTTTAAAAATACAGTAGCGCAATGACCAGTTTCTCATAGGATATGGGCTTCCACAACTAATGTCGAAATATCGTAAAAATCTCCAGGGTAATAATAGTTTAAACAATGACTAGCAGTGGAATCTAAAAAATTGAATTTTGTATCGATCAGGATTCATCAGACACAGAATAGCTATTGCTTTTTACACATCTGAAGATCACTGTGAGATTGAAATATAAATTGCCTAGACTAGACATTTCTTTCTGTATCTATCAATTCAACTGCTCTTGTGTAGCAAGTTATATTGACAGCAGTCCTAGGAATTTGTATTTTCGTGACAGCGAGCACCTCCCATTGTAGTTAAGACAGTTAACGGCTCGATTTTAGCTCATTTAGTAAAAATGGGCCATACAGCCAACATGGAGCAATCGTTCACAATAACATATCGTGTCAACAGCAATCTGCCTAAATTCGCCAGAATGAGAAACCTTCAGACAGCTGAAGCAATCGCTATTCGGATCAAAAAGCCAGAGCTTTGCGTCTGGAAGAAATATTTTCAACTGCTCCTTTTGCCTTGACCAACCTCTGGCCTAATTACTTAATCATTTTTATGATGTGGTGAAGTAATTCGATTAATGTTTATTTGCACAGCTTAAACTTATCCACATATCTTATCATAGTTATTAGTATTATTAATATCATTACACCTACCTGCGTTTCTGAGAAATTTATTCAGCATCCACCCCTATCTACTAATTCTTGCCTAATTCATATTATTCTACAAATTGTGTAATTTCTGATTTGTAACTACATCAGTATCTCTCTCACCCCATATTAATCATATTTATTCTGATCATCATTTATCTCACAATTTTATTTCACTTATAAACTTATCCAAGTTCACACTTCATATTAGTCACCCAAACACTATTTGATTTGATTTTATATGACAAACAATCCTTGATTCACATTCTGTAATAAGACGAAACGGCCTTCCAGTGCCTCCAGGTTTTCAATGGCGATCTACAACCGATCGATTCATGATCACAATCAGAAACTAAAATGATGTATTTTGCCTTAAACCTGGCCAATTTTACTGATTAATTATTTTTGATACATAATTGTAGAACCTGAAGAGAAATTGTTGAAAAGAATATACTTCGCTCATATATTTGTGTTCTAAATATGAATATTTTAGTCTTTTTCATGGTGACGGCCAGGTAATTTGTGTTTGGTTACAAATAATTGAGTTACCCAGTATTCAATGATATAATGATGTTCTCGTGACTTACTGGTTACCCGATCTACTGAGGGTGACCATTAGTTACCCATGAATTTCAGCGTTATTGCTGAGTAAACAAAACTTAGTGTCATACAGGTCGTACGATTAGAATTAACTAATTTGTATGTAAATGATCAATTTTGATGCTTTTAGTTCTTTGATCGGTTGGTCATTGGTTGGTTTTGTTTTTTGAAATCTGTTTAGTTGACACTTGCCGCTCAAGTGTCTATGTACATACTATTATCTCACACTTAAGTCAACTGACTGATCTTATCAAACAGTCAATCTGTTATAAAATCGAAAATTAGCGTTTTGATAATCTTTCAGTTAACAGTTTAATGGGAAATCTATGGAAGTGAGTTGATTCCGAAGTACTACCATCCAAAATTACTTCGCGAAGCCTAATAACCGAGGAAATTCTTTTTTACTCTTTGTCAGGAAATACGAAACTAAGAACCGATTACAAAGATTTATGGATCAGTGTATTTTGTACAACTAAAGAAACTGAGGAGTAAATCCAAACTCACGGTTGAAAGGTAGTCTTTAATTATTCAGTCAAAAAACCAACAAAATGTGTTTCTTTTAAGAGTAAAATTAAATATTAACGAATACATGAAACAGAATTAGCCTGGTATCATATTTATACAGATAATAGCATTCTTATAGACAACCACTGAAAATCAGGAAGCACTTGGTAGCTGTTTCATTATAGTGTGTGAATCCTCATTGATGCTCATCCAAGAACCAATTTATGGCAAACGCTTCCAACGGCTGACCTATGTGACTTCAATCAGTTTACGAAAAGAGTCCCGGATTTTTAGTGCACAGTTGAGTTCAACAGAAACTCACTAATGATGATAGGAAATAGTTGCTCAATATTGTGAACATATTGGAGAAGCACACATAAATCACTGAGTGCGGATTTAGTACTCTAAAGGCTAGGTTGCTGAAGATCCCGAGTTCGATTCTCTGTGGTGAGATCATGACTGCTTACTGCCGAAAACTTAAATACCAAGATGAAACGGCTGTTAGGTGCATCCTGGTTTTTATTATTTACTTAACTTATACTTTTTCTTGATCTTAATGACATTCAGTAATCTTTATAAATCTCCATACTGATGATAATCATATTAATGATGTCAACATTTTGTTTATGTTACATGGTAAAGTGTCTGTAATATTTAAGACATTACTATTAACAGAGTACAAACTAAATACTCAAACTCACTGATGGAGTTGCTTCAAAATACGGGCCCAAATATAATAGTACAAATACAATCAATACTGAACTGAATATACCTGATAGCTGCAAAACAAAATCAAGTAGATATTTACCGATAAATTATCCTGGAGAGTATGATTTAAATCTGAAGTGTTATTTGAAATACTCCACTTATTACGTTGCTATATTAGTATTAAAAATAAAAATAAATTCTCTAATACAAGTCAATTACTTAAATAACAGATATATAAATTAATAAATTTATTTAGCAAACCTACTGATGACGGAGCATACATGTCGAAAGGCATTATACTTGAATTTTGAAATAAAATTTTAATGACGAGTGGTTGACGAAAACCTGTGGTAAATCTTGGATATTAATATTAAACTAAGCTCCACCTGGAGCTTACATTTTGTACATAAGTTGACTTTACTATTGTTAGATTTCATATTATGAACCAATATCCAATAAAAGACGATCAACTATCATGAAGCACTGAATAGATGTTACATCCAAGTAGGAAACTCTTTGGAAGTTTTCATCCACAACCCTGGTGGAAATTAAATCTTGGATCTGAGTGTTTTGTAAAGTGTGCTGTCACTGCGGTTATTCATTTAGAGTCAAATAGTTCATACTATCAACTTCTGTGTCAGTTTTTGTTCTCATGGTTGCTGGATACACGCTGACGACGAGGTAAATTATGAAACAACAGTATCTGATGCTCTGTGGCTCACTAAATCTCATCAATTACTGTCGGCTTACAGATGATATAATAATGAAAATTACATCAACGTTATTCAAAATCTATTGGTAAACATTTAAGAGAAAATGCGAGACAAGTTGATTGGTTACTCCATCCACAATAGCGAAATTTCCGTGTAATATATGGTAATATGGTAAATTAAAAATAATTAAGAAAATAATGGGAGAAATCACTGCCTAAATTACTCACCGGTGTCCTGGTTTTTGTTCCCGCTAATACCATACTACGAGAAAGACTACCAGATTGAACGAAACAAGAGAAAAATGATGTGAATGTATTTATAATACCGAGTGATAAGATTTCCTGAAAGGTAAAAATTATATACATATTCGAAGAAATTACGAACCATGCATGTATAGGTAGGCGACTTAAACAGACAACTTAACGAGTTATCATTATCTCGTCAGGAATATGTGAACATGATGACAATAAAAATCCTTGGTAGAATTAGGTAAGATCGTGATTATGAAATTATTGAACCGATATTTTGACTAGACTTTTAGGGATTCCTAGAGTAATAAAATATCCTATTCAAATGTAACAGGAGAGGTTAAGTAAATAAGTAGTTATATTCAAAAAAAGTTTTCAGTGTTAGCGTATAAACTTATTGGCATTGATGCACATACGATGATATTATTCATAACTGTTTAAAAAATAATCCTTGATGCTTTGATAACTTATCACTTTCGAAATACGATCTAGTAAGTTGAGGAACACTTTGTCATTTAGTTCATAGGTTGAATGGAAAGTTTGATGTCTTCAGATTATTATTCGCTGTTATTAACAGGTGGTGGCTATCAAATCTTAACTAATTTGACTGATTTGTTTATTTTAAGATGTCTATCACAAACTATCAAAGGCTTACCTGAAGCGTGTCTTAGTTTTATTAATCTTATTTTTCTGGATAAAATATGTTGAATAATATTAAATTAATAACCTTTTTATCAAAAGTAATGGCTTTAACGTTAATGAAATAAAAATCAGGTTATATATATGCACACAGATATGACTTAACCGAATCATGGATAAAACTTTACTTTCTAAAGCCAGTCATTTAGTCATGAGTAATGTAGAACATGACATACACATGGATCGGTTCAAGTTACACGTACCATATAACCACAACCAGATAAAATTATCAGACCGAATTTCGCAGTCTTATAAGTAGTAACAGTATTATCAGTAGTAAAAGAAATTGAACATAAACGGTATGACTAAAGCAAAGAATAAAATCACGGGAAAAAAGTAGAACTATTTTAAGATGAAGTGTGAATGTAATGTCAACAACCATTGGCTATGATGATCACTAGTACGCCAATCAAGTAGTCTATACCTACCTATGCGGCTTAGTTCAACAGTCTGTGATTTCATGGGCTAATGACATGTCTTGTTTTGGTGCTTTACATATAAAGAAATTAAGAGTTCTTGTCTGAATCATTTGGGCCGCTTAAATTGCTTGAATACAAGCAATACTAAATATATGACCAGCAATTATATAATTTGCTTGACTAATGGTATTCTTAAAATAAATCTCTATACTTTTACAGCTTCAATTTTTAACCTTACTGATCAGAACTGTTCGAATTTAAGTTTATTTGATACTGACATGTTTCACAAATACCTTGGTGTTGTTTCTAAAACTAATAGATAAGTATTTTGTAAGAGTTAGAATTTTCCCATTCCTGATGTAATGTACTGCAACTGATCAGCCTTTACATGTATATGTGTATCCCAAGAGGATTGCTTTGACATTATCATATATTCACGGGATTTTATTAAAGCTAGTTAATAGCTAGGAGCGGGATTCGGATTCATGTCTATCTCATTAGGTACGTGTCAGCTGGACGTACCCAATATCACTATGTTGTCTACATGTAATTGCTCAGTTTTGTAGTACGTCTCCAACACAGACTAACATTCTGTTGTCAGAAACTCTTGAAAATTAGTGAATAAGCCAGTGTATACTTGGAAAGAAAAAACATATAAATACCTGTAACTATGTATAAAAATACACATTCTTTATATTATATCTTAACTTACATGATTAAAATTTACTTTATTTCTGTACTTTAAAGAGAATAATTTAACTAAGGAAACTGACAGGAACGTACTAACAAATCCAATTAGAATAGCATCTGGAAGTAAATCTGGAATTATGCTCCAATATGGTACTGTTACCTGTGGCATTCTACCAGTTGTGAGAGGGAGGAAATAAAAAACAATACATGAATGCACTACGTTGTGACAGATGAACACGTTATATAGATTTTTAAAATATTCATAATAATAAATTTGTGATCAAATTAATCTGTAAGTGCACTTTTTCTCATTAATTAATTTAATTTGAGGAGTCATTGGAAACAAGGGAATGTTGAACAGTTGTCTCACTCCAATATGAGATTCCTCAGAAGTACGAGAATACTACTACATATACATGTATATACTACTTAAAAAAAGACTGAATTCCGCAAATACTTCGCTCACTTAATAAACTTATAGTCATTAGTTACTAGTTTCAAGATAAAATCCTCAAATTCTAGTAGAGTATTTATGACCGAATGAATTTAATTATCTAGGGGATAGAACTATAATCACACTTAGTATCAGATAAAAATTGAGCTATAACGTCAATTGATTGAAAGTTAAAACATATCGCATTGGTCATCAACTTAGTCGTCTAAGCGTAATGTTCCCAACGTGAAGTATAAAATTATTTCATTCTACTCTTTTAGGAGTCTTAACAAGACTCTACCCAGGAGTCCCATACTAGAAAAAAACAGTTGTAAAGTGATTTCCGGTTTCAAGTACAGCCTAAACTGATGTCCATCCATGATGAATATCTTTAACAAGTTTGCACGTCTGCGTGAATATGTGTATAATTTGCAATGTGAATTTTTCATTCAATTATCTTTATGGTTAATATTGTTGATTCAGAATAAGCAATATTTCAATGTTATCATTCCGATAATCTTATACTACATACATCTCACTTTGGAGAATGCCTTCATTGCCATACACAGAAATTATACAGCACTTAAAGTTCAAAATTCTTCACCATGTATTTGATCAACATCATGATTAGACTTGACAGAGAGAACAATAGATTTAGATTTTTGAGGGACTCTAGATATTCCAAAATGTTTTCCTTATCAAATAAATACACCATTTCACTGGATGCCACTTCCGTATATATATATATATATATATATATATATATATATATCATAAAGCAATTATTGTTTGTCTAAATGTCTTCACCTGTAAATTAGTTTTATAACTCAATTCTTATTAAAGCATTCACTTTTCGGGAAATCGGCCTTAGTTTAAAGATTACAACATATTAAGAGTAATTCAACTCATGAGCGTGCATCTTAATTAGAATACCTTGAGACATAGTAGTTTGCAAAAGCCCTAAACGATAGAATTTCTTTTAAGTTGTCATGTATCTGTTGGTTACACAAATTCATTGATAGTAAGCCACACTGAATGTTACAGAATTGTGTATTCATGAGTATGTAATTTTTACACTATTAACAGGGTGCATGTAATCCATGTAATGACCGTCTTATACTGAATAGAGTTTTATCAAACCCTCATAGTTGTTTTATTATGGTTATTGAATCCATACATATAACTCCAGAAGACTTTCTTCATATTTAAATTAATCTATGGAGTTGGTCGAAAATAAATGGAAGTATTTCAAAATACAAATATCTTGTAGATTAAGTCGTTATCAAATACATTCAACTACATAAATAATGTACTTACCCGCTAGCAATATATCCTACAATTGAAACATTCTTAGTAGAGTGCAAATTCAATGTACCTGAAATTACAGTGCCTAAAGCAACCTAATATGAGAGGTGAAAATGAATTGTGATTAGATTGCTTTGAAGGAAAACAATAAACTGGCAAACAATTCAGTAATAAATGTTGTTAATCAAAATACATTGTACAAGAATATTTCAGTGTAAATCTAGTTTACTGGCGTTTAGACAACATTGATCCCAAATTGATTAAACCTATCAATCATCAGTCTCATTAGTTTACAATAGTTCGGTCTATGTATTAATACTCATAAGTGGAATTGAAATGTTTTTTCAAAGATCTCAGCATCAACTATATTTAAGTGAAACAAAAAAATCTCGATTATGTGCCACGTTTTGGATAATTAAAAAAATGTTACGATGAGCTAGTAGTGTTTTTAGTTTGAAGTATCTCTGGATCAAGCATTTATTAATTGGTTTAACTTATTCTCAGCTAATTAGGTAAGTCATTAACAGATATATAAATTGAACATTGAATACGGACATGTAAATTGATTTGCTATTATGTAAGTGATCATCTTTTCAACTTAAATACAGTTTTGTTCTGAAATAAAAATCAACTAAGGGAACAATAAAACTGTATTTCTTTCCACCATTATTCAAAACCTCCTATCGAACTCACCTACAATCTTAAACTAAATTGAACCCGAGAACCTCGAGGTGTTGAGAAGAGGCGTCGAAATGAGATTGAAAAACAAAGAATAGTAATTTGGAAAAGCAAAGATGGATAGTGGCTAGCAGTGGAATCCAGGACGCTCGTTTCGTCCTATTTGAGACTTGCCAGATGGATGTACCTGCATTTCAGAGTTGATATTCACTCTGGGACTCGAGCCCAGTACCGTTCGCTTCAAACGCCATCGCATGATCCATTTAGCTACTGAGCCCTGATAGCCACTTTCTTGTGCAATCGAGTGAGGTTTAAATTCAAATAAACAATACCAAGTGAATTTAGCTGTGGAAAAATTAATTTATATATTTTCAATGTATTTTTATTAAACTTATGGTTCATATTTATTGCAGTACTTGACCACCAAGACCACTACATTGTTTTTAACAGCATAATTTCAATTTTAATTAATTTGGTATGTAGCAACGTTAGTCCAGTAACATCGATGACAACCGTTTCAATCCTAAAATATTGGAACTTCACCAGTCAAAATTTCTCACCGGGACCTCAAGAACATTTTGAAGTTAACCGGCCATCATTGTTTTAGTGGAGCGGTCTCGTAGAGACTGATTTAGTTTGTGTGTTGTATGAGTTACAGAACTCAGTATTATTAGTGTGGGTAAGATTTACGACTCTAAATCCATATTTTCAATCTTTCACATTATTTCGAGAAGAAAAACGCTTCCATACTTAAAATAGGTGGCAAACCCCTTTATCTTTATGGATATTTCGTCATATTTTTATTAAATTCAAGAAAAGTAATCCATATGAATTATGATTACTTATTTGTATTGAGCAAGTAGTAAATTAATGCTTTTTTCAAAAATCTGTTTTATAGTAAGCTACACAGTTTAAACAGAAATCATATGACTATGACCGTTGGATACTGTTTAGAATCATGAATGTGAATGATAATTTATATTGAGGTGCCTATGGGTCTGTTACTGTTCTTTGTTTTTTCATACAATACTTTTTACATTTTTATGCTTTACTTTCCTTTAAATTGGCTTTTGCGTACTGTCGATATATGAAGGGAGATACAATTCCAGAAATCAATACAAAACAGTGTTGTCTAGAACTACAGTATGGATTTCGAAATCGAAATATTTTTCCAAGAGTACACAACGCAATCAAGCGTTCCGAAATCGTTTCAAGACTTAATAAAAGTCTCGAGGTATATTCTGAATTCGTTCATATAATATAATCAACATGAACACAATACAATGATAATTAATTTAATCTAAAAAATGACAAACATTTACCAAAATCAATTCACTAGGTATTGGAATCTTCAAATCTATATATCGTTTCAAAAGGGGTTCAGCACAAAATTTAATCATCATTAAAAACGCAATCGATGCAACAGATATAAGTAGTGTGAACAAATTTGAATCACGTATATTTTTGAACAAATTCACATAGACCTGGAATAGTAAACAATATATGTGTACATTGGATGATATGTTAAATAGTGAATTAATTCACCAAACGTATCAAAGTAGGCATTTAATTTGAGTTTAGGACTCAGTTATGAACTCAACCTGTTACGTTCCAGTGACCGATAAATCACTAACATCTCTATTCTAATGGAGTTCAGTCGTCACTTGAATAACTCAGTGGTTATGTCTGAAACTGTGAAGTTGGGTGATGCGGGTTCGTGTACTGCAGAAAACATTAGTTCCTTTAAGATTGCATATACGCCTTACTGGTGAGTCCTAACTAGCCCTAAATCTATATCCATAGTCTCCCAGTGACTACCTCCGATTACTTTACAATTGAGTTGAACAAAAATATTTGATATCAATACATTATGATGAAAACCATAAATGACATTTCTTCGAGACTAATTAAAAAGTTGATTCTTAAATCAAATACACTTGTTATCAATGCATTCCTGTACAATATTAATCTATCAGCATCAAAAAACTGTTGAAACTATATAAATGTAGTGTAAAATAATTTAAAATGTATAACTCTCGAAATACTGTTCGATAATCAAAGATAATGAACACCCTATATTTCATATAAAACTGAATGTTGGAGTTGCTGAATCTTAAAATACAACATAATAGAAAAACATGAATTGATCAGATTAATTTGGAGTGATTTCCATCTAGTTATCTCAGTATTAATTATTTCAATGTTCCATGAATTTTCATTCAAGTAATAATTGATCAACATAAGGAATTCTTTAACTAACAATCACTGAATGTAATCGATAAATAACCTAGTGAAATCGAGTGTGAATTGATTTTCATTGGTTTAATATCTCAAATAAATCTTTCTTATAGGATTTATGTTTTTCAGTGACCGAGGTTAGGAGATAGGTGACCTTGGTATTCATATCGTAGTGTGATTAAAGTTACCACTGCTTTCGTCAATATATCAGTGAATATATCAGTGAATATATCACTGAGTCAAAACGTCATAGAATTCACAGAATTAGTGAGTGTATATTAACATGTTAACAGCATAACCTATTGATTTTAAGCTTGATTCTGTATGAAATCATAATTACAAACTATTAGGAATAAAATAGCTGTTCACTTGTTTATAAGTCTTCGAAAATTCATCAATTGTTGTCAGCCGATTATAAAATGTAACTTTAGTGAACTACTCGAAAAAAGCATAAAACCTGAGGTAATTTGTTACGTTAACTAATAACGTAAATTAAGGTTTAATGAAGATAACCACTTGTTTTTTTATACGGTGTGCTATCTGGATGACCAATTTTGTTATGTCTTAATGACATTTGACGTTACAATATTCACTGACAATTTCGTGAGTAAACTGTCGATTCGATCACCTTAAACTTGAATTTCTTCAAATCTCTCAGTGATCATGATACATTTTAACCATTGGACATGAATACAGTAATCTGTATTTCTAGCTTCGACTTATTTCGTGATATAACGCGTATATCATTTAGTATCCGAACTAAGGTAAAACAGCTGTTTCAGTGCTTCATAACATTTCTTCTCTCTGTTCATCTTTTTACAACTAATTCGGTTATCATTATGATTTTCTAAATATGGTTTATTATGGTCTTGTAATTGGCGTACATTATCATGCATGCTAAAGGTTGTCATAATCAGAGGCAGATCAGTTTTCTGTTCACGTATTCCGGTTGTGCACTAGGGATAGAAGAATGTAAGTGAACTAATACACGCTATGATATCCGATCATCATTGGTGGTCAGTGATGTTGTTGGATTAGCCAAGGTCATTCATATGATTGGCTTAAAACAACTTCATCATCAGTGAACTCTATAGCTGAATTCATAAGACCACATATAGTCGGTTCTTAATGTTTGCTACCTTTGGTAAAATATAAGAGTACTTTTACATTTGGTGAAAAAGTTTCAACTTCATGTAAAAGAACGGGAGATAATTTAACACGAATCAGTTACAGAAATTCGTTATGCTTTATTTCAGAATACGAATTTGCTTGGATTTCACGGAATGCATATTCCACTTTTATTGAACATTCCTACCGACAATTGTTCTAATTATGATTGAGGTAGTCATTCATCATAATTATCATTATGTTACTTTAGACCCAGGAATGATGTTGATCTGAAATGAAATTTTTTTCATTTCAGAAAAATTTCTTTGTATGCGTTGATACAAAGCATTCACCGGGTTCGTTTCCTTTTGGTCAAATAGAAAGTAGCTCGCAGATAACAAAATGAAAAAATTACGCACTTGCGTAGTACGGAATGAGGTTATCCCCAACATTTTCACTGTTTACTTTTGAATCTTACTCAGTTCATTTAGTAGACGAGTACTACATTTCAATGTAATTTTCATTAAAAATTTTATTTTAAACAGTTGGAGTTGTCCTCAGCTATTTTCCATGAACATATCCCGTATAGAACAGACCAAGGTATCGGATGAAAACTACAAATATAGTAAAAGCCAAGGCCTAGAATGAACTTCTTAAGGCAAATGACCGTAATACGCAACACTTACTAAATAAGTGAATGGAAAAGTAACTGAAAGTGTGATGTATAACACATTTTGTGACATTGAAAACATTGAGGATAACCCTAGTCCATAATATGTTACCTTAAGTATTTAAGAAGTATCTTAATAAAAGCAGTAAAAACCCCAAAGCAAATAGTAGTTTCAATAAAAATGATTTCTATGAACCTTGTATAATGTTTTGGATTCATATTACTAGGGAGTTTCAAGGTAAAAATCTGCTGTCCAGTATTTCCTGACTTTCAGTAACTCCATAAAAAACTTGAAAACTTTTTGGAGTACAGAATACTAAAAAGAGGAAAGGCTCACCAGCGATACACAAATCAGGCAAAAAGATAAAAGAAAAATATGACTGATGTTATACAATGAGTTCATAAAATTTATAAGTAAAACGAAAATAATGAAATTTTCTTCAAAGTCTAATCACTTCCTTCAATTTGATCACTGGACTTTGTTTATAAACGCCAACATCATCCACCATACAAGTTACATATTATCTCGAACCTACATGAATTGATAATATGGCAAGTTTTTCATCTCTCATACAAAGCGAATTATGGAGATTTATCATAAATAACCATATGTACTACAAGTTATTACATTTTCCCTGCGCAATATGTATGGTACTGGCTTAAATCAAGTCCATTCATATAAACTGAAGTTAAACTCTGTCTACTTAACTAGTGAATCACTAAGCTTATCACTGAAATTGTTCAAACAAACCTCATAGCGACATTCTTTGATGGAAAAAGCTGCTTGAAATATGCATCAAAATTTAAATCTAATTAATAATCTTAGCTGGTGTCACCACTATCCTGAAAAGAGTTATATGGTATGATTTTCGAATAGTTAACTGATGATTACTAACTATTGTGATGAAAGCTCTGACTCGAATTTCTAACCGTAGCTTTTAACTCCAAGTCCTATTTTAAATTTTTTTCCACTACGTGATAATTTCATTATGCCTTAATAGGTGGTTGGATTATCTCAAGGAGACTCTCTTATCCCTCAAATGTTGTCAGAAAATTGTAGTCTTGCAACCTGATGACCTTAAGATACCAGCCTTTAAATGAACATTGACATATATGAAGTATGTAAATAACCCCATTCGCTATATATATATATATATATATATAACAATTAGTACTGATAATGTTTATATTAATTACAAGAAATGACCGTAAAGGTGAACAAATAAATCGTTCAAACACTAGTTGTTTTCACCTATGGAAACAATTATGTTTAGTCTAATTAAAAAGAATGGAATTAACAATATACAGTGTACTCCATGTAGATGACCCTAGAAATCAATTTACTAATAAATAAACATCAACATGAATACACTCGAAACATATTTACACTGGTTTTGAATTTGATACAAAAATCAATTAGATCTTCACTACAAACAATCACCACTATCCAATGCTATAAATACACAAAGTAATTTATATTACCCATAGACTATTTGTAGATCATATTTTGTGGTAATCTTATTTTTATAAAAATTGATGAACATAACGATGTCAAACAAATAACAAAATTTATTTTTGAGGATTATTGAGACTATTTTAATTTGTTGAAGGGGTCTTGCCACAGATCGATTCAACTAATGACCAATTTTGAGATAGACTTTTAAGTTTATAGTGAAAAATCGTAATTACTAGAGTCTATTTATGTATACCTAGTTATTTCAGTGAAAATAAAGATGTCCGACTTGACAGATATGTAAGTCGATAATGCAATGAGAAGACGAAATTTATCAGAATTATGTAATATATTACATTTCGAATAATATATCACATAATTCTGATAAACTTCGTCTTCTCATTGCATTATCGAAATTCATCAAAGGGACTGATTGTTTTAGATATGAAAGTATAACTTTCTTTTCGGTAAACATCTGTGTAATATATATTTAATAAATAACAAATATTTATGAACATTTCACAAGTAGTCACACTTACAATTTTTAATCTGAAGGGATTTTGTGAAGATTTCAGTATTTTTCATAGTTGAAATCATGAGCCAATTGAAGCTAGACCACCGAGGAAAACCTGGAAGCACTGGACGGCCGTTTCGTCCTATTGTGGGACTCCAGTGGGCCGTCCAGTGCTTACAGGTTTTCCTTGGTGGTCTAGCTTCAACTGACTAACGATTTCATCTATGAAAATTTTTTATCTCTTCCAAATCATATAAAATATGTTACTGACAATTTATTGAAGGATTTTATCATAACGATAATAGAATTAATTCATAAAATTTATTATCATGTTGAGTTAATTATCATGCTCCAAAATTACTCTATAAATGAAATAAATCAGTGTTAACACAAAGAAATCTGGCTTTGAAATTATTGATGATTTTCTATAGTAGGACAGATATACAGTCCAATGCAACCCATTTTAATGTCCTTGGAATATCTGAACTCAACTTGATTGTATGATTATCGTTATCGTCTTCTATATGTCGCCAAACCTTGCATATAATTATCAACTTAGTGAATCATGGAATTCAATAAATCAAATACGAGAATGAAGTTTGAATGAGCATATTTCGTACAACAGTTGATGTGGACAGATAATCAGGAAACGCAGCGAAGGAAGCGAAGAGGGGAAAGTGAAGCGAAACTAAATGACGAGTAGTACAGAAGACAAGTGAACCAACTCTGTTTACCCTAGTATGGCTCAATATTTCTATTCAGACAAAAATAAGTTATTGATACATAATCAATAGGGTAAGTAATTAACACACATACGATCATATAAAAAGAGTCAGGACTAATGAGAGAATAAAAGACTGGGTAAAAATGTGGCTTGAGAAGGATAAATAGATCAGTCTATCCAGAGGCCAGAATAACTTATGTGGGCTTGACATACTGCCAGCTTCTACACCATAATACTAAAATTTATTGGACTGTATTTCTTCAAATCTGATCACCACATGTAGTCAACAAATCACGTGTGTATAGAGAAATATTCTGGTCTAATATTAGTGAAAACCAGGAAGCCCTAGAGTTCAACCATGCGTGATATCAGGAAGTTACTCACTTTTATCATCGAAGATCGGTGTCTAATATTGTGAATCGACTGAAGTTAGGAATAAGAATTATTAAATAACAGCCAAGTGATTTCAGTTCTAAGCACTTATTGAAAAATTTGAAAGTCCTGGACTTCATCTCAAATGAGGTCGTGGATGTGGGCAGGTAAACACAAAAGAGCTATCCAATGCTTCTTAGTTTTTAATGGTTGTCTATCAAGGATCAGTTAGTAATCTGAACTGTAAAGAAGTTCTAGCAAAATATTTTGGAAAACGAATTAAAAGTTGAAGAAAACATACTTTAAATTCAGCTACAGACCAAAGTCATTTGACGGAAAAACATCGAATCTAATTTCAAAGACTGAAATCGATCATAAAGATACTACATAAAAAGTTTTTTATTCCAATGAATCTTGGATAATTTATTTTTAAGAGTGTGAATATTTATAGCTTAGTTTAATAAACAAAATGCATTATATAATTTACTCACATCAGTTTTTGTGCACTCATATCACAATATCTCTGAAAGCCTTCGTGATATACTGTAAAACCGAACGTTCCTGAAATTTGATTGTTTTCACTATAAACTAATGGTAACCTCTGAAGCTTTGGAAACCCAGGTGTACTGAAGAGTTAATTTGTCCTAGTTTGAGACTCTTCAGCCCAACAAATATAATTTAATAACACAATAAGTGCAGATGACAAACACATAATTCCTCATTGTCAAAGCAAGCCATAAGACCGATCTTTACCCACCCTTTATCGTTTTGAACAAAGGTTTTCTATGCTGAATACTCAAAGTTTTTGAATCCTTAGCCAAACGAAAGTCCACTGCCCCTTATGTTCAGCAACATTTTATACGCAAACTAAAACTAACCTTCCAATACTGATTTAATACTCAGAATGATGCGATTCATATTTTATTTCACATTATTATTTCTCATGTTCCAAATTGTCGAGCTGTTCATCCTTTCTCGTAATCGAAAACAATAACAAATTAATGTATAGTCAATTTGTTTATAAAATTCCCAGTTGCTTCAGTCGATCAAGATCCATAGCTTCATTAACCAGTTTCCCATCTTTACATTTTAACGAACCCTTTAACTCAGCACTGGACACTTGATTGTCCTACCATAAACGAGTAATGTTTAAGAAGCATCTATAACTAAATACCAATAGCTTACAAATGTCGTCTAAATTTTGAAGTCGAGATTTTGTTCTCTACTAACCTAACAGGTTTGATATTTAGAATTGGTGATCAAAAATACTAAAAACGAAAATAATATACTTTGTATTATTCCAATGTGTAGGGAACAGACATTTTCAATGTTTTGCAACACTTTTTTACAATAAATTTTCATCGAAAAGAAATAACTTTTACCGGCGTTAACATAATCTTAAGTAGTAAATACAACATCTCAGATCAAATAATCAACCATTAAAAAGAAGTCCAAGCAAGCGACAATTATGTCTGTCAAACAATTTGGTTTGTTACGTTTCTGTCTATCAAACAATGAACATACAATGAGCATGAGATACTGTAATGCATGTTGAACGATCATTACTTTAAATTTATCCTCTCGATATAGTACACTAATGTTCGGATTAAACATAATCTAAGTGAACAGATTTTCAAGAAATAAACGAATTCTACCTTGTAATTTTGTAAAAATTGGGCGTTTATGTGATGTTAGTCTGACGTTGACATCTAATAACTAAGGCAGTTTGTCGTAGATAAGTGAATATTATTAGATTATGTGAAAAAGGTAATAAAAACTTTCGCTCATTTAGTTTACTTGTACTTTACCATTCATTTTTATCTTCTATGTATTCCAAAAAGGTACAAATGAGTGTGTATCATTCAGTCAACAATCCATTATTGCGAAACAGTAGTTACTAGGATTATTACTATTATTAGTGAAATTATAATGCAGAAAAAAGCTTAAAATATCCTCCATGAATTTGCAGTTAGTTTTAGCCAGTCAACAAAACAGCTTTCGTAAATGAACAGTTTGTCAAAAAAATATTGAGAAGCGTAAACACATCTTATGTAATCAAAGAATCTATTAAAGTCCTCTACGGATCACTGTGCCTTGAGATAAAAAAGTGATATATAAATTTCGTTTTATAGATATAGGTTCTCCATCCTCTCGAACCTTTAAATGGACTCAAATACAGTTTTGAGAGTCCCCGCATCCAGGCTATTAAGGGTTAGGTATGTAGGGTTACAAATAGAGGTTTAGAGTTAGTATTTACATTATGAACTAACGTCAACTATAATCCAAAAGTACTCTGTAGTCATATGGTTGCACGAACTCTCCTCGAAAATTCAAGAGGCGTTATCTGAATAGTTCGTTTAGAAAATATGGTGACACCAAGTTAAGGTTTGTTTCAAAATTTCAGGATAGTGTCGATTGGCCTGTTATATACAGTCTATAAAGTCATGATCGAGGATCTGTTTATCATTTTTGCTCTATGGTGAGAAAAAAAGTGATTTTTCGCAATCATTTTAAACGTTCTGATTGCTATAGAAAAATATTTCGACATTTGAATTTCACTTAAAAACTGAAAAGTTGTGTTCTCGACTCCGATTTCCTCGTCTCTGTATTGTACTCTTACTGTTCACATAATCAAACTATGAAACGGAGTCCAATAATTACAAGTACGCCTTACACCTGCCTGGCTTATAACCTTTGCTCCAACCAATAACATGAATAATCAACAACAGAAGACTTTAAGCGAAGGCCTCAGAAACCCTTGTTTCTATTGGACCAAAGAAATTTAATCCTCAATATTCAGTCAGAAGACGAACGCAGTAGGCCAATGACTCATTTATTATTGCTTATTTATAAGGGCTGAAAATCCCTCAGATTTATGAGCATGAATATACCGCACTACAAGTAACAAACCATAGTTGCGCACACCCATGTATAAGTGATATAAAACAGGACGATGAATGATGAATTATTAAGCAATAATTCTTGACGAGGAAAACATATATCTAGCGCCCACACCTATTGGTCTACAATAATTTAGGGAGTTTTCATTAAATGTGACTAGAAGTCGATATTATAAAACAAAACTGCTAAACTTCATTTCATGATTCGGTCATCAGTCAGATGACATAAATGACTCAAATTAAAAAGTTTGTTAACTAACCATAAATAATGAACCAGGTCCTTGATCTTTCTTTGCAGACTTCACACCGAACAATGAACTAATCTGACTGCTTAACACATGAAAACCTGCGCCCGATGTGTAACCAGATACCATTGATGGTGCTAAATAAGACGTAAATGTACCCAATCGGCAAAAGCCAATAATAAGCTTTAAATGAAATGAAAAAAAAAATCGAATTTTACATAAAAAAAAGGGACAGTGAGAATGAAAATGAAAAGAAACATATACAGATGTGAAATAGTGAAATAGTTTAATAGATTTTCAAAAAGTAAATTTGAATGGATCATTTGGAGGCGATATTTTTTGAGTTTTATTACCATAGTCGAAAATCCCTACTGCCAATTTTCCTTCACGTTTTTGCGTATGTCTACCCTGCCCCATTCTTAGCTTAAACACTTATATTTTCTAAATCACATATATTTCTTACCTTATTACTTTGACATCTCCCTTAGTATAGATTATATTCACACGAACTTATCATTAGGATTGAATTTTACTTCAAATAACCAGACTAAACTTCGTCTGATATTACAGTGGACAGCTTGTGTGCAACTAAACGAATTGAACTTCGAAGATGACCTAACTCTTCAATCCCATACATTTCAACAAATGCAGGTGAAGACAGTCAGTGTAGCAGCAGCGGTTAGACTATAATTTATGAATTACCTTTCAGCAATGCCACGGTGAACTTGAGAATCCCACCTAACTACGGGAATTAAGTGAGGGCTGTATATTAGTGTAAGGAATCAGAACTAGGATTTACAGCTGGACGTTAGGGTCAGGAGTTATATTTAGGGTTGTCGAAATGTTATTTAACCATTTGGATGAATGAATTTCACGTAAAAATTTAAGACCTGTTATCCTAAATCTGTTTGGTTCATCCATGAATTATAGTCTTGCAACAGCAGCCTCTGGAGTAGTAGACATCAAGGTACACAACAACCCAATCACACCTGATGTAGAACATCCGAAAGATGTGGAAAGAAGGAGGATCTGATGCAGATGTAATTGCACGAATTGACAAGTAGGGTCAGTATTCTTACAACTGAAGAACATGCGGAAATCGAAGCTGTCAACCAATATCAAAGTCACAATCTTCAGTACGAACATCAAGACAGTTCTATTGTACGGAGCTGAAACTTTCAGAACTACCACAACCATCATCAAACATGTAAAAGTATATATAAACAATTGTCTACACAAGATACTCAACGTCCATTGACCGGATATCATTCGCAACAGTCTACTGTGGGAGAGAACAAACCAACTTCCAACTGACGAGGAAATTAGGGAAAGACGTTAAAGGTGAGTAGAACATACATTGAGGAAATCATCAAACTGTATCATGAGGCAAGCGCTAACTTGGAATCCTTAAGGGAAACGGGGAAGAGGAAGATCAAGAAACACACTAATCCCTGAATTGGAAGCAGACATGTGGAGGACTTCATAGTACAATTAAGCAACAATAGACAGATACGGGTCTTCACTTGGAATACATCTATCAGTTGACCTGCATACACGGCTTCTCAATGTATTCCTTCTTAAGAATTCCAGACGATGGTGACGATCTTCTCAGGTACATCATAGTGTCGAACAAGGTTCCATAAGATTCTCCTATCCTCACTGTCAAATCCCTTCTCATAGTCAAGGAAGTTGATGTACGGTGACGAGTTTCATTTATTTTATTGGTCAACAATTGTCAGAAGTGTCATTATTTGATCTGTCTACGATCGATCCTTACCAGATCCAACCTAAATCTTTCATTTCCTACTATGCACAAGTATACAGTAGAAAAATTTATTGACCACTTTATATATATATATATATATATATATATATATATATATTGAAGCAACTACTTCTAGGAATTTAGTGTTCATCTTGTTGTGCTAATAAGGTGTGGAAACTTGAACCGATGCGTATATATGCCTGGTCCTATGTTGTAGCTGACTGACTGATGATCCTTGATGCTGATCAAATTTCATCGACTGAGTTGCAATATGATCTTTGTTTTATGAAAGACTGAAAATTAAATGCATATTATTTTGATAGGTGGTCGTAAGTATAGTTGGTAGGAATCTATGATCTTGGGTTTCACTCTAATTTTACCACACTCGCAAGAAATGTCTGTAATCAATAGGAATTTTCGCTCTCAGAAGGAATAATGTGATTGTGATTATTAATGACAGTATTAGTAGTACGATAACAGCGAACCACTAGCAGACATTACTATCTGATATAAGTAGAGGATATAAATCTGTGGAATTTGTTAATTAGCTCGTATTCTAGACGACCATCACATCAAAAAATAATTACACCTAGCTTGATGAGAGACGAAAATAGAATTTTAAATTTATTTGCTTTCGTTAAATTAAATTACAATACGTGATTATACAATCAGATTATAAAACTTTTATCACTCTTTTTTCAATACAATCTACCACTATTAATTCGCAGGTTATTATTATTTGGTCATAGATATGTCCGAAGAATTGCTGATGTACTTTGGGACCGCCGATTGAAGAATTTTGAAGTTAAAAACAAAGTACCAGTTAGAATGGAAAATCGGTTTATGCAATGGCAATGAATCGTTGTCAACTGAGGTGGTGAGAAAATGTGTTAATTGTTGCCAAATTTTTCGAACCTCGATTTTAATGTGAGAATAGGTTGTAAGAAGCTAAGGGTGACCAATTTAAGATATATCATCTCTTCATGAAATCATTGACTGTAGGACTGGAGTGCATTAATAGGTACAGACTATTTGATTGGTGTCCGCTCGATGGCCACAATCAATAGTTAGAGATGATGAGTGTTATAGCCCAGAATTAGTAGTAGTGGCACAGATCCATCCACTATTTCTTTCCCTTGGATATTAAGTTTCTAAATTATCATATACTTTTTATTCTCGAATCACGCTATTCTACTACTGTAGGATTTGTCTCCATACTTTTATCTGACCCTGTGGATCTGATATGTTAGCCTGAACAGATGCAAACTCATTAATTTAAAATTCATTCAGCCTATTTCAACTTATGATCAATTCCCTGTCATGTTTAATCTCCTATTTTAAATGATTATGCGTATCACAAAAAATTATTACAAACGTACATACCCAAATATACTTGATTTTTAAAATCATTAGACCATATTAAATTATAAAGGAAGTGAATTAAAACAAACAAGTTCTATATATGAATTATTTCTATGGTGAGATTTTGTATTGACGTCTATCTTTCATGATGTATATGTATGTATCACTTTTAAGTTCAGATTAGATTTCACTATTATTAATAATAATAATAAAAATATCCATATAAATTTACTACTCATACATTAATACTAAATAAATAAAATAGTCATGATTGTGGACTAACAAAATGCATGACAAATCGAAAACAGAGGTTTCATCTTTCCTCACTTTACACCCATAATGATATTAAACTACAGAATCAAATACCAAGTTTATAATGCGAACTACTATAAGAAATATAGTTATCACTGATTGTATTGTCTGATATAAACGTGTTATTTTATACCTGATGAAATTTGATAATGGTCTAAAGATATCTTGTCGACTGGCTGATCTAAACATATGGAGTATCATCTTAAACTAAGTAAGAATGCCTGTCCAGTGAACCGATTAGTTTACATTTCTAATTTGGATTCATTTGCGAAGCCGCACAACCGTTATCCATCGGCATTAGTAATACATATTTTATGCACAACATGGTTGTTTGTTATTTCCATAATCGATTAAGTTAATAATCATAATATCCTTTCCATACCCGTTGCTATCAATTACTTTGACCATGGTACATCTCATCTTTATTTAACCAATCAACAAATAGTGTTATCTCATTATGTCAGTCATATTAAGAGAATGTAAGTTATTTGCGGACGTTTGACTGATTAGACATAACTGAGAATGAAGACCTTTAGAGTCGGATTATAAAACAGTAGCCAACTGTAATTACAAGCTTCTTCAATAGAGAGACACATCTCATCCAGAAAACTTTGGTTGTTTTAGTTGTGCTAATACATGAGTTTAGAGAAGGTGACAAAATATTTACAGCATTTTCAGTATAGAGTTGTGAAGATTACTGAATTTCATTGAAATCACGGACCGATCTTAGTTAGACCATCACTGAAAATCTAAAATCACTGGATGGCCGCCTCTTCCTATTTGCGGAATTCTCAGCAATGGGCATCCACGACCACTGAACCAAGAATCGAACTCGGGATCGGCTTATATTTTCCATGAAATTCAGAGGTCTTCACAAACCCCCACTAGCAATAACCATATGCATTCTAGTGACTGTTTTCAAGAGTCAGCTCTCTAAGTTCTGTTAAGAAGCAGGAACCAATAAAGTCCAAGTGTGCACCAGTTACATATCAATGATGTGGGAATATGCTTGAGAAATGTCACAAACTGGTTGAAGTTAGATCAGCAAATCATTTGGTACCAATTCAATGACCTAATAATTAAGCTCTCATCACGATATTTGAAGGTTCTTGGTTCGATTCCGAGTTGGCTTGTGGATATTCCCTGTCTAGGAGTTCCATACTAGGACGAAATAACTATCTAGGACTTCATGATTTTTTATTATTTTCTAACTAAGATCAATCTGTGATGTAGTCTATAAACTAAATATCAGAGATTTTTCCATTTACATACAGTCTACTAATTTAGATTATTAAAATAACTTAATTCACAATTAAAATTCTACAGATTTACTAAACACAATCTACTTAGTAACCAGTTTTGTTTAGTAAAATCTGATAACGATGTATTTGCAAAGCACACAATGTGAAAATCTTTCAAAAAAATCATTATTAAGAGAACAGTAAATCATGTTGAGTAGTTGAAATAAAGATTTCTTCAAAATCTTCAAATTAAATTAATATCAAAACTTGCTTGTATAATTCCAACTAGAAAAGTAAGCGTTACGGCTACAATCGCTCTTGGTTCTGAATATTGTAATGGCAACTTGTTAGTTATTATATCTTCAACCAGTGTCGAGTTTGAATTTATGATGGAATTATGATGACTAACTGCGACTTTTGAACTATGTTGTTCAATTGGGCCAACAATCAATAGGCTTACAACAGCGAATGTACCTAAATTGAACAAATACGGTTATTTATGGTAAATTTAGAGTATAATAAGTTCTAATTGCTGACAATTTGCTGTAAGACCAGAAACCTCGGTCTTAATTCCCATTGTTATCGTAGACACCCACTTCTGAAGAGTTTTATACTAATACGAAACAGCCAATCAGTACTTCCTTCAACTATCTAACATCTCAAACTTATAATGTATTTTTACCACTATTTACATAATATGGAAAGTATTATCAGTATAGGGTTGTGGAGATTGTTGTGTTTTGATTCAGATCATGAAACGATCGATATTAGACCACCATTGAAAACCTGGAAACCATTTCCAAAGACAATGAACCGAAGGTTCTTGATTCGGATCACACACACTGCTGAAGAGTCTTACGCTAGGACGAGACGATCGTCCAGTTCTTCCAGCTTTTCAATGGTAGTCCAACATTGACTGATTCACGATCTCAATCGAAATTATCATTAGTTTGTTACGAGATAGATGTTGAAGATTTTTAGTGAAAATTTTATCAGCTCCATAATGAACCATATAATTGATCAGCAGTAATACTATACCTTGAAGTAACTCTATACTTTCAAGAATACAGAACATGACGTCCTGATAGATCGACTGATTACAATTCTTGGATTCGTTGTAAATTATTATCAGTACTTGTCAGTGTAAAGAACAATTGTATTTCGTGTGTGATTTTCTAGTTTACTTATATTTTTGATATTGATAAAATTTAGTTGACTCATTATTCGTAGAATAATAATTAGTTGTGCATATGACTCAAATAATCAAAAATAGAGGCTACTTAAAATTACGTCATTTTAATGTTAAATTATTGGACGTAACCAGTAGGCAACTGTAAATCTAGCTCCTGTAATATTTAGTACTTTTTAACAAAGCATAATTATAGTTTTGAGAGAACGAATACAGTGGTTGGAATTCGGACCCTTATCACATAGTACCACAGTTACGGGTCTTAAATCTTAGCTAACTGAGAGACAACTGTAAAGTCTTTTAGACGGGTTTTTACTTTGCAGAGTGACCAACAGCATGTAATCAGTAATTAGGATTTGATAACTAGAAAGTGGTAAATAGTTGCTCCGTTTTATGTCTGTTCTCTGGTGGACCAAACAGCTAACTGTTATTTCCCCTATTTTAGTGATTATTTAACTAAGATAATTTCGTGATGGAAAACTTCATTGTTCGACTGTATATCGCCTTCTACATTTCTGGGCATGAAATAAATTAAGTAACACCATTGAACCTTGTGTGGTAATCAAATTACTTTGTTAAAATTAACAAAAAGGCCTCCTCTCAAAAGTATTTGATCAAGTTTCAAAAAGTAATTTATATATTGGATAAACCTTATTTAGATTGACATATATATGAGTGCAATATTTGCTCATTTAACTATGAACTTTACATTGAGATTAGTCGAAGTTATCAAAGAAAAAATAAATGAACTTAATTCCAAAATAAAATCATAATTATTTTCTACAAATAAAATTCAAATAGTCACTTATTCAAAACATCCTTTAATTGACTTCCTCTACTTAACCAAAGCCAGATTATATCTATTTCCTTTCATCTCAGTGAATTCAGTTCAAAGTGATTAAAGAAGAATGAAGACAATTCAAAAAAGAAAAAAATTTCTTTTCGACGATATCATTTAATTAAGATATACAGTCTTATTTAATATCCCTCAGTTTTTACCAATTAATATTACCATATTACTGATAATCTAGATAGTTTGACTTCAGATTGGACGTTACCGTACTACGATACTGGTCGATACAGTTTGGTTGTCACAAATTAGAACTTAGATACTATTACACTGATTATCCCTTGGAGATCAGGTGATGCATTTTATATTACGTGAAGTTATTTATCGTATGAACAGCTGTAGTAACATCCTCAGATGCCGAAATGAGGGATGATTGTTCCAGTTGTTATTGAAATATCACATCCTTGACATTACATAAATGGTTTAATAATAAACATCACTAATCACAAACACTCAGGTGAATGATATATCATGCCGACTCCTTCCAAACATGAACATAAAAGGCCGATTGGAGAGAAAATTAAATGTGTATATAGTTTCTTTTCATTAAGTTGATTTTCTTTAGTGAGACGATCACTTGTTAATGTTCGTTTACAATGTAGGAAAAATAATAAATTTGATAGAGTGGGAAATCCTCCTCATTTTAAAATTAGATTTGCAACCTAATACTACTATCAAGTAGTTCAAACTAATTTATAAAACCATTCCATCCCATTAATTTACGGCAATCGGTCAATTCTTTCGTCAAGTAATCCTTGTAAATATTACCTAAATATGATGTCCAATATTGGTATCACATGAACAAACCTGATCAATAGCAATGAAACTTATGTGGACCTAGAAGTTCTCTTTCTTAATTTGGTATATTGTTCAAGCTATTGTGCTACCATTCTATCAAATGTGCATTTACTTCCATCAATTTCTCTGTTTAATATTTCCTTTGAGTAACTAATCATATTTTTAGCTGTATGCTCTTACGTTATTTTTTAGAGTATTTATAATTTATCGAGAATGTAATTAGTGAGAAACTCAAAAAGTAAAACCACTATGATTTATACATTTTCCTACTTCTTACAGTAGAATTGATGGACCAAATATATTCGGTAATGAAAAAAAGATTTCAAGGGAACAATAATGCTAGCAGATAAGTTGGGAATGACTTTGAATGATAGCTAATTACTGCATATGCATATTTTCCTAATATTCACAGATTAATTGATGAAAAAAAGGGAGTGTCATAGTAGTACTGCATATTTCGTGTTAAGATTTCTTCACTGTAATCAAACGTATTGTGCTGAATCAAGACAGTAATATTCGTCATTTGATCGTATTTTCCAAATGTGAAACTTTACATCAGGATTGACTTGCATAATCTCTTGAATTAATGATAGGGAGTGAAGTAGTTAGACGTACTGATTGTTTCACTTATCTCGGGAGTTTCATCAGTCTTGATCGCCTGGTATCTGATCGAATCTCAAAAATGGGTTCAGAAGATTTGATTGACTTTTGACAACTTGCATCCCTTGTGGCATGAGCAAGACAATACATCTGTCAACCGAAGGGCAAGTTTACTGTGTATCAATCCATTCAGTTCTACCTTATGGATTTGAAACATGGTCATTGGGAGTAGACGATATTAGCATGTTACTGGTATTCCATCATAGGTGTTTACGGAGCATTACTCGTGTATTTTTGGACCACAGGGTAAGCAATGCCTGGGTTAGGAACAGGGTACTAGGTAAGGATGAAAAATCGATTGGTGAGTTAGTAAATCTTCATCAACTGAGGTGGTTGGGACAAGAGTACAGCTTACCTCGACGAGCGATGTTTTCTGGTGAGGGAGTAAGCTGGAAGAAAGCCAGGGGAGGGCAAGCCAAAACATTGCATCAGTCTATGTTAATGGATGTAGAATACCTTTTTAGGATCCGCTCGTTTATTGTAACCAATGGTTGGAGACTCTGAATTAAATAGCTTAAAATCGTTTGCAATGGTGTAGGTGAATCCACTCTTTGTCGTCTTCCGAACTATGAGATTTTGAATTCCTTATTATTTTTTCTGTTTTCATTTCATCAACTTATATTTTCTTCCCACATCGTACCTTCGATGCCTAATCTTTTCTATTACTACTGGTACTGTTACTACCTCTACTATTCTGTGATTAGACCTGACGTATTTATTTATTTAAACACATAAATATTGGTACAAGGAGGCACCAAATATATATGCACCACATAAACCATTCGATTTGCGATTTGAGGGCTGGGATACTGCCCGAAATAGGTGGTTTTCTTAGGGGGCCACTCCCTGAGCCTTTGACTTAAAGGTATGATCCACAAATCAGTAGATCAACGTCAGGAGATGCAGTCCCATGGTAGCCGGTGATCAACAGTAGGTCCATACGCCATTCGTTCCATCAGGACCCTGGAGTTCATGTGCACCATTGGTTTGGATCCTCAATATCCGCTTGACAATTTCATCTTTCTGTGCTAATGGGCATGGCAAATTGAACCGACGGAAAGACGAATCATGTTCTATGTTGTGACTGGATAACTAACTGAAGGACTGTGTTATTGTAAGTTTGAAATGAAGAGGACAACAAAGAAACATCTCATCAGTCTCTTCTCGTTTCAAGTGATTCACTAGTTAACAATATTGTTAGAAGGAAAACCATATCTAAACTACAACAAATTGAAATGAAGGTTTGTGTATTAATTCCATGCATTTATTTATTTTAAATCACATAGTTCTATCAGTTTGTGTGACATAAACAAAAGCGGTTATGTAATTACTCGATAAAAATTATATAAGATTTTAAAAAGCAGATAAATTTATGTTTGACGACTAGCGTTATATATATATATATATATATATATGACCAAGTGACTGGATCAGACCATGTTTGACGTTACGTAAGTTCGGTTTTTTAATGTTTTTTTTGAAAAATACGTTACCTTTTGAACATAAGTACACGTAAAATCTAAATTGTTTTGGCGGATGAGCAATGGAATTAATTAACATATTATGAAGTTTTTAGTATGTGCATTAATTTTGCAGTCATGTTTTGACTATAAAAATCTGAAGAATTAGTTTAGTTTGATGATCGGTGGAAATCGATCATTATTTTTTGGTGATTTTCATGAACTAATATAGACGAGAGAGAAAGTGAAAACCATGGAAATAAGTCCAACGATCTGTAGCTATGGTGCATAAGTTTGATAAGACTGTCAGTCTCTGAGATGTATGGTCCACTTGTGAAGCCTTTATTATCTTCCTAAATAAAAACAATAGTACAAACACAAGAAGAGAAGTGGGATCTTAGAATTTCTCTACAACTGACAGAAATAAGATGTTATGCAGCAGTTTATTTGCGATCACAATGGTTCACTAGTGACTCAAGCTCAGATCCCATAATGACCATTAGTTCATTCAAGAGTTCAGGTACGCCCTATTTATGAGTCCCAACTTGCACGAAACCTAAATCCATGGTTTACTTCCAGCTACTTTCAAACACAATACGGAATACGTTGTTAGTCAAATGTGAGAAAATTGTAATACCTGACTTCCCAAATGAACCATGAAGAACTATGGGTGACTGTTACAATATAACAGACACCTCATTAACAGGCTACATTCACAACCACTAATCAGAATAAACCTGGAACAATCAAGTTCTTTTAACGAGTACGACAACATTAAGGCACTGAGTTCGGAATTCAACCGTTCATAAATATTCAACATCAGTAAACTCAAAACATATTATATATATATATATATATATATATATATATATATATATATATATATATATATATATATATATTAGTTACTTTCTTCTTTGAATGAAATCAGTGCTAATTGTTTAAGGCATTTAAAAATCCGAAAAAAGGTATTTGTAATAGCTGTCGGTTATCGTATTTGGTTGAAGGCTTTTTGCGGAGGTTGTTTTAATCGTTAGATTTTATCTGTCATTGACTGATTTAAATTATAGTACTACGGTATATGCTACTTTTATCGACAGTTATAAGTAGTATGTAACATCAATCGAAAGTGGAAAACCTGGCACCAGAAGGCTATGAGGGTTGACATGAAGAAAACAAAAACGGAATTAGAAATGGATTGTGAATCAGAAGAACCATATAGAATGTGTAAGTGATAGAAATTCGCAAATGAAGTATTTGGTGTGTGATTCTCATATTTTACGGAGACACTAGGGAATTTTACGTTAAGTGCGTTGATTGTTTCCAGTTGTGCGTTCGTTCAATACGGTACCATCGAAAGCCAGAGAGAACCGGACGGCTGTTTTGTCCTAGTATGATTTTATAGCGACTATCCAACACCCAATTTCGATTATGATTAATTTTGGTTAAACCCCTTTTTATTAACTTACTTAATAGATATTCTCATTTGGACAGTAACAATTTGCATATTTCTTTGCACTGTTATGATCCATAAAGTACATGACAGATTCTAGCCAAAAGCTTTGATTGCTTGAATATCATTCGATTATTTATCTCCCTCTACATATATGTATGCACTCAAATCCTATTATTAGCCTTTGCTTTGTCTTGCTGCGCCCTCATACACTTTGACTATACATTTCACTATGTAATTGCTTGGGTTTGCTCGCTGATACTTACTCAGGTGCTTATAGTTTTGTGGCCTGCGTTATTTGATAATAACTATGGTTGCAGCTTCTCTGTGACCTCTGATTTCATGAACAGTTGAGATCTGTATTATAACGGCTATCGATGTGAAAGATTAGCGAAGCATCGCACTACAATGCTACCTAGAAATGTGCACCCACAACCACTACAGGATTCGTACCCAGGATCTTCGGGTTTGCCGGAAAACGTTTATTTACTGTAAATATTGGGTTGGTATCCAATAGAACATTTCATATTTCAGTCAATTTGAGATAAAGTGTAACGATCAACCAGTGTCATCAACGACAAATACTTTACTTCCGACTAGTAAGAAATCTAAAGATTGTAGAAACACACTGATGAGAAGCTTAGTGTAAGGACAAAACAGTCGTTCAGTGCTCCGTGGATTTTAGTGGTACACCAACTGAGTTAATCTATGACAAGTAGACCCATAAATCACCATTTTTATCTAATGAAAATGAATTTTTAATGGTTTCACATACAGTTTATTACCTATGTATTTTTGCAGATTAGCTTCCTACTCTGAAATCCATCCATCAGCAAATAGAAACAGTCAAAAAGTATAATTCAAAATTTCATTTGTATTTTATTTGAGTGCTAGAGAGACAGTATGAGAAATAAATAATCTGAAAACCTGTATAATATACTCAACTACAAAATGAGACAATATGGATCAGAAACAGAAAAATATATACAACTAAACTTTCATATTGATTATCAACTAAAACTTACCCATAGAAAATTGTGTACAACGTCCAAAAATTGCATAGAACAATGGACTTAGAAAACCAATATACAATCCATAAACAGGTGGTAAACCAGCGAGTAATGAATATGCCATACCTGAAATTTTAGAAAGAAAACAATATCCCACTATCCTACCCTTCTTACGTCATATTTATTATTAGAAAGCATAGAATAATTACTAGTAAAAACAAAAATATGATTTCCGATATATTTAATATGTGGTTGGCATTGGAATTTATCAGCTTAGTGTACCTGCACCTCAATGTTGATGTTCACATAAAAGTCAAGTCAGTACTTTTTACTTTAAACTAACACTTTATTTATTGGCCATTTGGGGTCCTGAATAATAAAAACAGGAAATTACAAGTCTTTCTACATATTTTTGTCTGCAACATGAAAGGGGCACATATAGGTCATTGATTTTTCTTGATAACATGTTCGTTTCTTTGCTTAGATCTTTACTAAATTATACTGATACATGTTCAAATTAACTTACAAACATGATCTATGCAGCTAGTGAAAACTTAACAAAATAGATCAAATTCACGTTGATCCGCTCAAATAGTTGTTCTTACTCTTTTCATATCGGGGAAATATTAGATAGTTGCTTGTTCTGAATTTTAGAACCACCAGCAGTGAAGACCGACAACCTGACATAAAACTCTATTGATCTTAGTTGAGGTATCAGAAAACTAAGGAGCATCGGATAGTCGTTTCATCCTAATATGAAGCTTCACAGCAGTGTGCACCTATGACCTCTCCGGAGATCGAACCCATGAGTGTTCGTTCACTATAAATATATCTCACTGGACCATTAAAATTCGTATCATATCCAACTATAGTTATTAATTGATATGTACATTTCATCACACATACATATACAAAAAGAGGACTGATTTGCGGCAGTAAGTAATCCCATAAAAGAACACTCTTAAATGATTCACACAGAGAATTAAAGTATCTGGGTTCATCACGCTTAAAATAATCTATCATAAAATATATCAGTGAGACGAATCAGATGATTGATATGAACAACTCTTTTAAATTGTTATTTAGCACTCCACATGATCATGTATGACTAGATTTATTGAATCCTTAAGAAATAATGTACAACAGTGAATTAGAATTTTCAATAGCTCGGATTTAATTGTAATTGTACTACAGTCTTCATTCTATCGATTTTCATGATTATTTTGGCTATTAGTCTGATTAATTCGTTTGACCTTGTTTTTCATATATTCGTGATTTTCTCATTAAATATCACGAAGACAGGTTATTAGTTTATGGATTAGGCTGTTTATTGTATATTAAAAATAACATTTTGTTGTCATGAGAATCATACAGTGAATCACTTAGAAACTGTTAACTTCAGCTTAACATGATTAAATTAAAAACTCTTAGCTAAAATATTACTGGTAGTCAACACGTTTTGAGAAATAAGTCTGTCCGCAATTTAAAATTACTTCATACTACGTTGAAACACTTTTTAAAAACGTTCACTATTTCCGAGAATGAATTAGCGATAAACACCTCTTTTCTTTTCATCAAAACAAAACCACCGTATTATTTCTTATCATAGATAAACCCGCTCTGTCATTGATTGAATTTCAACTCTATATTGTTGTACAGACGAAAAATGATTTCTATTCATCCAATTCGCAATGGGATCAGGATATGTGAACACGTAACAAATACAAAACCTACGCTTTCTCAATAAATTGAGGATACTTTGTTTCTGCGTCTCGCAACGGTGAGCTACCAACGTCACACACTAAAGTATGGTTATAAATTATCTTATACCGCACTTTTATATCTTGAACTATTTATTTATTCCTATACTGAATGCATATTTTAATGGTTGCCGTCTACACGATTTTGGAGCATTCATCCATATACTATGGGAACGAGATTTGACTCACATTGTTAGGAATGGCTCAATAAAAACACTCAACAACTCTAAGGCATGAATATCTAGATAAGAGCTTAGAAATCTGTATTTTTGGGTTTGTGAAGAGCTACAATCAGCAGATATTTTGTTTACTGTATGGTAAAGTACCTAAGAGTTTACCATTAGTGTGCACAAATCACACAAATTCTAAAATATGTAATATGTTACATTAGAACCTGAGTCAGTTTCTCCTATCATTGGAAAATAATTACATCCTCTACACTACAATACGCCGGCATCATTCAGATGAAACGTATTGTAATAAGTGAAATCTGAAGTACAATGGGAACACTTTGTTCTGACTAACCATTCACTTCAGATATCTTGATAGTTTTTAGATATAAATTACTAGCCGAATAAAAACAAGATTACTTATATCTTTTTATGGTTCAAAACTATATACAGACTAAAGCAGAACCCATTAACAATTAATACGTTAAAAGTGAATCCCTCAATCTGTTTGGGAATTCTCTCGAAATTTACTAGATTATCAGATTACTAAAGAAGCATACTATGACTGTAAAAGATACAACACAACTTGTTTTGGTTAAATACCAACAATAATAGTTGACTCATTGAAGCTATTATTAATAATAAATATGTAAACAGCAAATGATAATGATGTAACACACTACACGCATCATATGGCTTATCTTAACGAAAACCATAAGATGATGTATGAATGGATTGTATTGTAACATTATTTCTTGTCTGTAATTAACCTTTTATCAAAAATAGTTCAACTATAAGTTTATGCACGTTATAATCAAACGATTATTTACGCTTTCAACACTTAGCGCATGATTTGCAAGTTCCTTGGAAAATATTTGAATCTAGAAGTAGTAAATTTAAAGTCACCTAACTAAGTAACAGTGAAAATTTTTTGACGTATTTCGATTTGATTCATCTTTAAGTATCCCCCTTAATTCTTTTTCAGAAGAAACAACAGCTCGTTTATGCAACAGCGATCAATGATAAGTTGGATTTGTGATTCTCAGTAAATTCAACAGATGTTCGGCCAAAATCTTCGTGGTCACTTCACTGTTCTGATATAGAATTTGAAAGTATTTGTTCTGTCCTTAAATAGCATTTGACGTGTAAACCAAACAGACGACTAAAAATCAAATAAAGTAGTAACTCGAGATTACAATTAAATATGACGAGTAAGATCTTTGAAGTTGAATTAACTGAAAGAAATATGACTAGGTCTCTTACGTCCATGTGATTTGTAAATAAACATAAGGAAAAATTATTACACTTGCCTTGTGGAATATTCATAACACCTTTTGCCAGACCAACGGAGGTATCTTTTAAAAAATCTGATCGCCAGTTATAATGTAATAATGTATCAATACATGGAAATGTAGACTTGATAAAGTATAGTGAATATGATTTCCATTGTTGTTTACTACAACATGATAATTTCAAACAACAATGACTTTTCTTAATGCTTGAGTTAGTATGTTTAGACGTCAGTGAATCCCAATCTGCAATTGGTCGACTGAATGTGATACGTCCTAAGTGAACATTTGTCACAAATTTATTTTCATGCATAGCTCCATTTAAATTTAGTGATTTACAATGAGTCTCAGCATTATTAACTGAGACATAACCTGACATTGTATATAAACGAATTAAGTCACGTTATATCAATTACTTTTATTATTACTATTATTTCTAGTTTATATATAATCTATTGACATGACAGATGGACGGATAAAACCTTATATGTGATTTGTAGCTCATCAATAATCCAATCATAACCACTATCTAGCGTACACACACACATACATACGTACACGGACATAATTTCATAACTTAGTGCAAATGTGAAGCGAATACGAACCTGTGGAAATTCTAAATTCACATAGTCATTAGTAATGTGTATGCGATGTGCGTACGATATTCAACAGGATAGACGAAAACACAAAAACCGAAGCACAAAAGTGAAAAATAACAAATTAAGCAAAAATAGATTTTGGAAAACAAAAAAAAATGATACACAGGTAAAATTTAGATTTTTTTTACCAAAAAGTGGAGTCAATTTACATGGGTAAAGAATGAAGACAAATTTCACTGTTTTCGTGAAATCATCATCATCATCAGCATCTTATATATATTCACAAAAACTAAATTCAAATATTTCCGTGTATGTGTTCATGTTTAAGTTTATATCAATGCAGAAATATTCAAACCACTGGATTCACTGAACTAATACAACAACGGAACGGAGCAGTGAAAACAGTTATTATAACAAGTGTATAAATAGGTCTTTGTCTTAGAGGGATTGTGGAATATTTAGAAGTAGAAAAATGGTTATAGCTACAATTTTAGAGCATCTGAAAGAAGGGAGCAAACATCTCGTTCACTAATTCGACTCGATGATATAGGATTGACAATGGATAAACTGAAATCCGAGGCAGTTGGATTCAAATTACCAAGGACTTTGAAAACATTTCCATTTTCTGTCATACCATCTAGACTGGAACATGGTAAAATATTGGCTGACTTTGACCTTCTCCTCCGGGAACTAACACGAGTAGTGTCTTCAGATTCCTCGGTCTGTTCTGTGTTGTATCCAGATACACAACCTGTTACATTCTGTTCCATTTGTAATTTCTCAGATGCAATACGCAGCATACCTTCTTCTAAAGTACCTTCAGAGATTAGTCGTATGACGTGAACAGGACTAGAAAATTAAAACATGATAGTTTATTAGTACATAGTTTTAAGTAACTTTCGGATACCGTCAAATCACAAAAAAAATAAAAAGCAAGCATTTAAATATCATGGTATGATATCATTCAACGAAGGAGTAGAATATACCTTGCAGATATAAATAGTTATTTACAAAGGCATATGACATTATCATTACCCACCAGCTATAATTTCTAAAACGATAGTGAAATTTAAAGCAATCTAAGCACATTAACCAACATGAACTAACATTCATACTCCATAGTGAGAAACATATACAAATTTGTTACATTTAATTGAGATCAGTATACCTAATAATCACAATATAATGATTAAGTCTTGGGTATTTTTACTGAATCCGATTGATTAAATGGGCTAAGGTGAATGTTTCAAAAAGTGATATCATTTGTCTGGCATTTTTAATTTAATTTGTTTTGGTAATTGCAATTGATTTTAGACTTTTAGGGAACCTATTTTAAAAGTGTATGGTCATTACAATAGGTTTTTCTATTTTCCATATGTTTTCTAACGAATTACTTATGCATATAAATCTTAAAACGTATTTATCATGCACTTAAATACTATAGTTTACGATAATACTCAATAATATACAAGATAAAAGCGGAAACATTAATAGTTGACATACTCTTTGGAAAAAGGAGAGAATTCATTTGGATCTATGCACAAAACGCATTATGTGATGCGGTAATGGATGAAAACAGTTAAAAATGGATAGCAGATAAACGTTGTTGGAAACGTAATTTGATATATATGGTTGGAATAGCTACGAATGGTATGTATGTTAAAGCTGAACTTGCATGAATAGGGTATATTTTTTGCTGAGAATTCTTTACTGTAACCAGGTATATAGTACTGGATTAAGCAATTATCATTCTTAAAATTCAAAACCAATTATCGTAATCAATGACGGTGCTAAAAGTATCGTGCAATGACCAGTGACATTAACAAACATTTTAAAACAAAGATGCAGAAAAATATAGTTTGCAAGAATGAAATACATAAAATATGTGTATGATATAACGTACTTTTTCTGACCAAGTCGATGACAACGATCTTCTGCTTGTCGATCATTATATGGATTGAAATCGATATCATGTATAATTACAGTATCTGCACCAGTTAAATTAATACCTAGGCCACCAGCTCGTGTAGATAGAAGAAAAACCTCAATCGATGAGCTGTGTAAAGATGTACAGGGGATTAGGTGAATTCAAAATACTTAATATAAGTAGTGATTTAGCTAGAAAAGTGAGAATTTTATTAGATAATTTTTTAATGTAATCAGTTAAGATTTTACTGATATTTCTTAGTACAAATGTAGAATCTGTTTGGTAGCCAGGTATGGTCAAACTAAAATATGGAAACAGTCTATGGAATCATTGACAAATAGATTCAGCTGCATAGGTGTTGACGAGGATTATCTGATTGGCGTCCTCGAGATTATCACAACCAATGGTTAGAGACGGTAGATGATATATTTCAGAATCAGTAACACTGGCCCAGATACATTCACGTTTTGTCTTCCTTTGAATTTGGAGTTTCAAAATTATCATGCACGTTTATATTCCTCGATGTTTTTAATTTCTTTTTGAATCCTATCGTCTATAACTAGATTTTTTTTTAAAGATAGTTACTATCTCTACTACTGACATTTATATCAATAATTTCATTGCACTGTGTGTCAGGTTCTACTACGTTGAGCTATAGCTCTAGGTTGAACATTGTTTCAGTTCATAGTTAGGTCGATCCTACTCAGATAGACATGTTCAATATGATTCTACTTTCTACGTCTTAAAATATCTTCCTCAGAACATAAACCAATGTTTACTTTTGACTCTGAACCAGAGACATTCTTGAGATAATTAATCCTTTTCAATATTTTGTAAATGTAGATGAATGGAAATTTATTGAAAAATAATTCCCGTTTCCCGTTAAAAAAACCTCCCATTTTGTTAATCGAAAAAGAATATTTCGTTTTTTACACATAAGTACTCGATGTCTGAGTTAAAAATATGGAATATATATATATATATATATATATATATATATATATATATATATATAAACAAATAATTAAACAGGAATTTTAGTATGCAAATGAGCATTGCTAATAAAATGTAGACAAACTAATACCAAATATTTACCTGTTGAAACGATCAATTAATGTTTGTCGTTCCGAGACAGGAGTTGATCCATCCATTCGAATATAACGCCTGTTAGTTATCCTTAAAAATTCCTCCAATATATCTAACATGATGACAAACTGACTAAAAATCAAAATACGATGTCCTTCAGAGACTAATTTAGGCAAATTGTCATTTAACCATTGGATCTTTCCAGATCCAGAAATGATGGATTCAGGGGAGAGAGTATATGGTGATAAAACCTAAAGATTAAGAAAAATATCATTTCATTATGTTAAAAAACACCGTATTTATTTATTTTTAACTATCAATCTGTATTGACCATATTTACGTGGGAAATATTTTTTGAATTTTTAACACATGTAGTTACAGAGCCAACTAAACTACTTAATCTTTATTCAGTAGCAGTAGACAAGCCCATGTAAAAATGAAGCGGGAAGAAAAACAGCCAAATTAAAGATCAGTAATCATGACATCCATTAAAGCCATTTGATCAATGTGGTCTTTTACAGTAACGCCCTATTTACTTAATTATTTACATATAAACATAAAACTATATAGGATTTGTTAATATTCCTTGAAATGACAAGGCTTATATTATTACAGATGAGACAGTATGACTACCTTCATTAGTGTGAATGATAAGTCAAAAAGGTAAGTATACGAAAATCGACCTATTGGCGTGCTCATATTCAAGTTGCCATAGTTAACAAAAGTACAGATAAAGGAGGGTCAAGAGAAATTATATGTTATTACTAACACGGATATGAAACGAGAGAATAAATCAAATTATGAAGTGTCTCAAATTAAGGGAATAATTAGAGAATGGATATTTTAATATGATTGCATCTAAGTATTGTTCACTGGCATATGCACGATTTCAAGGGGGAAATAAGTCGGAAAATCTACACCGAAATAAAAGACTGAGGTCGATAATCGCAGACTTTATGAACGAATACCATGACTTGAGCTGGCTAATAAAAGCTCTCTCATAGCACCATCCAACTTCATGTTATATATGAAATGCCATAAGAAACAGTCAAGCATTCGATGATACAATCAAACTATGTAGGAATAGAAACTATGTATGTTTAAGATAGGAGAATAATACCGAAATGTAAAAGACATCCAATCGAAAGGAATGTGCATTGGGGCTTTCTGGTATTACAACAATCGGACTTTACTGCAACTAAATCAACTTCGAAGTCTGATATGTATCTTATCTTTGACGACTAGAAATACTGGCTCTAACACTATTTTCAATAAGTATTGATAATAAGTCGTAAATCGAAGTTAGAAATACAATGTGAATCTTAAACAATAATTTATTCTGTTGTGAATAACTTGGGACAAAATGATTATATCAAGGTAATCTTAGTATGATCGATATATACCAACCTGGACTAATCAAAGTTGAGGTCTGAATATCGACGAGGTAGTTCGAACCCTTATTGATAATTATATAAACAACATAGCTGTTGAACGGGTTATTAGTTTTGTGAACTCAGTAGGTAATTAAATAACCGGTCATCGTTTGGAGAGAAAGGCACTGGGTTCGGATCCCAACTTAATACCAACACTGAAATGCAGGTAAATTTACGTGACGAGTTCCACATAGAATGGAATGCGCATCCTTGACTCTACTGTTAGACACATGCCTGAGTTATAAATGTTTTATTAGACCTTCAATAAAGATGAAACAAATTTATAGATAACGAATAAACGCCTACATTTACAGTGTCTTTAGATAGGAGCAAATAAGTGCAGAGATAGCACGATTGTAAGTGATGGGAGGGGATAACACGTCATACAGATAATTGGGTGG